TAGATGAGGTGGGATCTTTTACTTAATTTCAGTTTTTTTTTTATATTGCGTTGGAACTCAACGTTTGAAAATTATATTTTACAATGCAAATTGCTTTGAACGATTTTCCGTAAACATATTTGTTGTTGTACAATTTTTGCCATGGCATAGATAAAAATCACTTAATACAAACTGCTGTATCAACACAAGTTCCTACACAAAACGCGTCACGATAATATACATACGTACGTAGATACCTAAACAATTATTATACTGTTTGTGACGATTTCATTTTTTTCTCAAGAAAACATCTGTAAGAAAAGTAGTCAAATCAAAATATGCATGAATAATACTCGTATATTATTTAGAACATATTATATTATATATATATAAATTACATATTTTAATACTTAAACTAAAATATTTTAAACTTTTATGGCATTATGATTGTTTAAATAATCAACGAAAGGTGGTCAGAACGCCAAACTATCTGATAGACAATTGCAAAGGATTAATCAATAATTAACTATTCTCTAAAATTATAACTACAATACACTATAACTCTCATAAATGGACTGAAAAAATCATCTTAAATAAATACATGAATAATTGTATCAATAATATATTTCATTAGTTTTAAGACCTTCTATTAAGGTCTAAAATATTCGTCTTCTTTTTTTATGAATTCCAAGAGTCGTGACACAATGTAACGTCCATCCAACCTTTCTTTGTGGTTATGATCCAGTATGTTGTAAACTTCTCTGGTAACGACCAACCCGTACATGTCTCCTAAATCGCATTGCTGGTGGCCGAGTTCAACAGAACCAGTCGTTAATGTCGTGGTATCCGAGTAACTGTCACTAACTACTTCCACCTCGTTTTCCGGTACCTCCTCCTCTACGTCTTGGCTGTTTCCGGGCTTAAGTTCTGCTTCTTCGTTACTCACACTACTGTGTTCCAATTGCATACTACGCGTTTCTGTAGCGGTTTCCAAGCTCAAGTCTTCGTTTTCTTTTTCTTCGTCGCTCTCCAATTTCTCCTTAATGTCCGATGCTATTTCCCCTTCATCCTGGTTGTTTCCGGGCTTAAGTTCGGCTTCTTCGTTACTCACACTACTGTGTTCCAATTGCATACTACGCGTTTCTGAAGCGGTTTCCAAGCTCAAGTCTTTTTTTTCTTTTGCTTCGTCGCTCTCCAATTTCTTCTTAATGTCTAATGCTATTTTCTCTTCGCCCTGGCTGTTTCCGGGCTTAAGTTTTGCTTCTTCGTTACTTTCATTACTGTGTTCCACTTGCGCTTGTCCTTTACTCGGCGCTATTTTACTATCGTTTTTGAAGCTTATACATTTTTCTTTGCTTATGCTCTTCATTACTATGATTTTCTTACGACCTTCCGATTTCTTATCCATCGATTTCTGAATACGCATTTTCTTTAGAAGTTTATCTTTATCAAAATCGCCATACTTGTTATGTGCTACGTTCTTTATATTATGCTTTATTTTTTTCCCCCATTTCCGAGCCTTGTGTAAGTATTCTTTTTTAGACTTTTTTTGGTTTCCAGATTCTGTAACTACTTTGTATTTTTCAACAGATGTACATTCCGACTGTTTGCTTTCTTGTCCGTCATTGACAAGTGCTACTTCCGGTTGTACACCTTTTATTCCTTGAAGCTTTTCATGGGATTTTTCTTCCGGCGATTCGTTTTCATGGAGATTTTCAACAGGATGTTCTTTCGATTGTGTTGTATCAATTTTATTATGTTCTCCATCAAATTTGTCTTCAACCGATTCGTTCTTTTTGTGGATATTTTCGGCGGATTTTTCTTCCGACGATTCGTTTTCTTGGAGATTTCCAACAGGATGTCCTTCCGGTTGTGCTATATCAATTTGTTTATGTTCTTCGTCGGATTTTTCTTCCGACGACGAACTGCTTACTTGGCGTTTTTCGGTTGCAACGATCGGTTCAACCGAAAATATGTAGTCGAACGGTACAACCCTATTGTCGTCGGACGATTCGTCTCGTTTGTCACCGGTCAGTACACATTGTTGGGCTACAATGCTATGAAAACTCTCTTTCATCATCGAAAGAAATTCAAAACTAGTCAATGGTTCATCATTAGCATCTCCTTCGTTGGCCAATTTCTTCAGGAACGGTTTAAACTCGTTGTTCTCTCCGTCGTCGCCGTCGACGAGCAACGAGATACGCTTGTCGAATATAATCAATGCCGTCTTTACCATGTTTAAAACGTCCTCTTCATCTTGCTGTAGTTTTCCTAACGTTTCCAAAGCGTAAGCACTCAGCAGAGACATAAACTTATGCCCTCGTTTTCGGTATCCCCAGACAATGGCATAATACGCTTCGGTGCTTTGGCCGAGGTCGTTTGGCGAATCCAGTGCTTTGCGGATTTCATTGCCGACAGAGGTGACCTCTTTGTTAGAGCCCAATACCACTTCCTTTCTTATCATTTCCCATCGGTCAGATTCGGCAACGTCTTGCAAAAATTGTCGTTTATCAGTAGAGGCCCCAACGGTCAACGCGATGACAAAACATAAAAAAACATTCATTGTGACGAGTCGAGACTATATTTCCAACGCTGGTACACAAAGCTACTGTTTCGAAATCATACGCGTTAAAAAAAACATGTACTTTAAAAAATATAATAAATAACACCTTCAAGGTACACTTGTGCGTAGTACAAGCTCGTTGTTTACACTTGGTTGTACTAATAAATCTTTAGCTGGCTGTGTGTTGTTCTACTTATTTCTACAAAACGCTGCTTTGTGATATTTTTACTAGTGTATCGTTTCGACAAAAATAAAAATATTCAAATCATGTAAAACTAGGTCAATGTATGAAAATGTGTTTTCACGTAATACTGTAATACACTTCCTGTACAGCGATTCTCAAATTATTTTTATGTACTATTAAAAAAATAAATTGACTATAAACTAAACCATAATCATGTTTTCGGTTACCAAAAAAATAATGTCTTTATCGCTGCATATTATTCAAATTAAAAATATAATATCTATGCTTATTATACATAAGTTATACTTATTAGCAAACACTCATTAAGGATTTTATTAAGCGCACACATTTTACAGTATACGAAACTATCTACAATAAATGCATGTAATAATGATATAATTTGAATTCAAATTCAATATAACCATGTTTGAGCGCATACGTCTTGTGTTAAGTATAATTTTTGAGTAAAACGTGTTACGTTATAAAATACATATTTAAGGTAAATTATTTTTTTGAGGACAAATAACTTGTATGCAATACTATTATGACGCCATATTATTTCATTGTCAAATGTTATCTTAAGGTTTATACCAATTAATTTATTATAATTAATTAATGAGTATTGAACACATGTTTGCGCTTAATCGTCCATAATACGTATTTAAAAGTTTGTACATATAATTTAAACAGTTATAGTGAATAAATATTATTTTATTTTAATTGACACTTAACAGTTATGAGTTATGAGTGAAAAATATTTTCATGCGTAAATCACAATTGTTCTGTGTCTATTTAATTCTTGAAATGTAAGTAATTCCAAGCCTAATGCGCCTTAAGAAGTTTCACTTCAAATTAAATACGGAACACAATCTGAATTTTTTTAATTTTGCAACTTAGGTCCAAAGCCCACAAATCACTGTTGAGTGTGATGTCAAAACTAATAGAAAGGATAAACGGAATTGTAAATAGAATTTTTCTGAGTAGGAACTCATCGAACCAGCAATCCTACTGTTTCAAGCAGATGTGCGTTTGGACCGTGGATATGGTGAGAAAGTCTTTCCTTTGGCAAGCTACATAGACAAACTGTGGAAATTAGCAAAGATTATACCTTAAAAATAAAAACTTTCAAGTATTCCTGGAAAAAATGTATAGCGGAGGAAAACCCGTTAAAGAGAACCAGACAAGTTTTTTTACAGTAACCAGTTGGAATGGAATGGCTACTATAGTTCACCACTCTACCAACTGTACTACCGAAGGTTAAATGGAATAGCCAGACAGTAGAAATATTGGATAATAATTTGTAAAGAGTAATAAATCAAATCACACAAATTACATATTATATGTTACTGGAAAAGTGGACCAATCAAGATTTGATGACTATTCGCCGTATATTAGTTAATTTCGATTACGCACCGAAATAAGTCGATGGCGTAGGTACTTGTGCAGTTTACTGTGTACTTGTCAGTGCAGTACGTTCGGTGTTCAACGCGTTTAAATAGATTTCATTAAATAAATGTAATAAAGCATATTTTCTTGGAATGTCGGGAGCGACATTCACAAATCCGAAAACAATTAAGGTGTATTATTAAATTGTGATATTAGCTTGTGGATGGTTAAATTTCACCTAATTGCTAATGCCGTCCATCGGTAATCCTTTCATTATTATCATTATATTGTCATTATTTTAACAATGCAAGCCCAGTTCCAGGATGCTGTCCGACATGCTCTCAAAGGTATTTTTTTAATGATACGAATTCTTTACAAATCAATATTATAGATTTAGTTGAATACTTTAAAAACTACTTCTTTATTGAAATTTCATAATAATAACTCAAAAATGTCTTACCTCTGAGTAAAATTTACATGCCAGTGGGCTATTTATATTATTTATAATCAATGATTAAACTTATATGAACGATACCTAAATCAACTGAAGATTCCACTGAAGTTTTCATGCAAAACTATTACAAATAAAACTACTAAGACTCAATGGGTCACAGTCCAAATCCACGTTTGGTGAACAACAAAACGTTATCTTACTGTATGCAAATTATACTTTTAAATAAACATGATTGAAATTCAACATAAACATATAAAAAATATTCAAAAAAGAAGAATTTAAAGTAGGAAAGCTAAAAACAGGAAAACTAAAAACCTGAATTAAAGTTGAGTTCTAAGGTGGTCTGTGGTCATACAAAAGAGCTAGAAGAAAAAGATAATGTTTCCAAAGTGATAATTTAAGAATACATATTCCCTTGTTAATAGTTATATTTCTTTATTAAATTAACATTTGAAGTATTGATTAAATTTAATATTTTATTCTGTAATGTATAACATAATTTAATTATAATATCTTCCAATATCATTTAAACGCAATTTATAAAAATGTTATACCCGTAATCCGTATATTTGGTATTTCCGAGCGATAAAATCGGTGTAAAAATTTCACATGTAAAATATATTTTATAAAATGGATATTATGGTCTAAATATTAATACCTATTAATCGAACCACCCACCGATGTCATTTTCAAGATGTTGTACTTTTTCACTTGCCACAGGTACAATAGCAGTGGGATCGTAGTGAACATCTTTACGGTCTTTCTTACCGTCGGCCCCATCTGCTTTTTTCAAATCAGGGATGTTCGGATCATCATTTTTCGAAGACCCTGAGAAGTATCCCGAAATGGAACTAAACATTGACGACGGTGAAAAAGCTGCTGCTCCACTAAAAACGTTTATATTTAATTAACATTTTACTATTAAATGCATAGGAATATTATGGCAACGGATAATATGCTGAAGCATCGTGCTCGAGCCATTAGAAAAGACCCGCTTGTGAAAGCTGTATGTAAACTTTAATGGACTTAGAATGAAATTAGATGACTCTCTTTTTCTGCAGTAGGTATACACTAATAGGAATCTATTTGATGCCAAAAATGTAAAAAATTCGTGAAGTAATCCGATAGACTTCCTGTACCTTACCGGCATCGATAGAATATTAATGCATATGTTTGTAATAAACATTGAAAGGATTGATAGCGGTGATAGAGAATTTCAAATGCAAATGCATGAGAATTTTTAGTATAGACTTTACATGAATAGATCTCAACGGCTCACAAACTCATCAGGGTGTTGTGGCATGTGTTTTTTTAGACACTTACCCTTGAACCATTGAAGCTATGTCCATTGCCGATGCCATGAAAGCCTGCGAATCCGGACCAGTTAACTCTGTGACTATAGTGGCTGCGGTACTCAATGTAGCTTGTCCCTCCGGGCCGGTCATCATATCAAACACCATACGCATGTCTTTGTCGGATAACGGTAATCTGTCTAATATGCAGCCCATTGATTCGCTATCCCCCATTACACTGATAATCATCCTAATCATACTGGTGACTACATCCTCGTTGGCCATAATCTTACTCATTAACCGTGATATGAGTTCGGCTACCTCGTCGTCCTTGGCAATGAAATTTGCAATAGTATTGATGTCGTCCGTGAATGTGGCGTTGACGCCACCCTTATTGTATTTACTCACTTTCGACCCTGCTTTGAAATATATAATTAAGTTACACTGAAATACTCCTGATAACATACTGGGATCGTCCCCTCGAAAACGCTAGAATTGGAGCCCAGCTCTGGAATTTATGGGACTTCCAGCTTTACTTAACACTATAATTTCTGAGATTACTTTGGGTACCAAAAGTGTGTCAACCTAAACACCAGTTTCAGAGACTCAAGAGTGTTATCTCCAACTACACAATTATTTAATAGCATTCATGGACCCTACGAGAATTTTTGGGGACTTCAACGTAATCCTTTCTAGTATCTATCTTAAAGACACGAACTAAAATGTTAAAGGATCTGATCGTACGATGTGATGCAATTGCTAATCTGGGCTCATAAAGTACACATTTTGTGTTATTAGTTTCATTATTCAACTTGGATAAAAAAAAAACTGAGCACTCAATTTCATCCGTCCTCTCGTCACTAAACCCCACCCCCTCTATCCTTGTCTATCTTTGCAATATTAATCGTAATATACAGCCTATAAAGTTACCAGATGGCCACATTGGTCAGCAGTGATGGACAAATCATAAAAATAATATAAAAAATCTAAATTATTACGGAACCTTTCGTGACTATTTTATGATTGTTTACAATATTGTTAACAGCGGATTTCTTACAACTTCATTAAAAGTTTCATGTGAAACACAATATTCAGCATAAAAAAAATATACTGACCGGCGTATTGCAGTAGCATTTTCAATATTTCCTGGTTGCCATTTGTATTGTCAAGTCTAGAGCGAACCCTTTGGACTCCTATATTGGTGGCCAGCACACCCAATTCGTTTGCTTCAGACATAGTGTTCAGGCCTGAGTCAACGATATCTGCGACGGAATTGCCGACGGTTTTTACCAAAGGCAAGTTCAATCTGTTCTGCATGTTTCTATGAACGTTAGACCCTTTTTTGGCTATGTTAAAAACACCATTGGTGATGCCGCTGTAGGTGTTGACACCATTCTGCATCACGTTGACGCCTCCCCTTGCCAAGCTTTTTACCATTTCCTTGGACTGCTTAAGCACGCCGTTAACGATAGATCCCGTAGGGGGTCTTTTGATCTGAGGGTTGGTCATGTAGTACGTATAAGTCTAAGCTGGTACTATAATGTCGAACCTCAAAAGAGTTCACTCCAACTCCTAACTTGACGAAAAATTGTCGGATCGAGTCCAAATTCTCGACAAATATTTTTTAAGCAAGCCCCTACCCTATTCGGAAGCCGCTTTTAAATAAACCCTTTTATGAAACCCTATCTCCTTCGCAAAATGAGGAAGCTTATTCGTTTTATTTTAGTCGTCATTTTAACACTTAATTGTTGCAAATTAGACTAGATCGTTAATTTTCGAATATAATTGTAAGATTTTTGTTTCGAAAATAAAATCTAGTGTAGAAATTAGGTTTGGTAAGGTTCGATAGCTCTTTTATTTTATAGCGAATTTGTGGATAGCAAACTTTTGTGCTGTTCTGAAATTCACAATGAAGCGTTTAAGAGTGATGGAGTGGTATTCAAATTTAACAAATGTCTCGATTCAACTTTTCAAACCTAGGCTTGTCTATACGGTACTCGGTTTACCGTAATACGCTGATTTATACTGTGCTCTTTTTTTTTAGTTTTTACTTCAAACGGCTTTGTTTTATATTCAATTTGCATTACGTGAAGTATGTGTATGTGTCCGATGGTCGAGATATACAATAATTACGTGAGATTCAAAAGCAATATGTAAGTTTTTTAGAACAATAAACATTTTTTAACACACTACCTTGCGCTTGGGGTGACCCTTGCGTTTACGGCGGGATCCCTTCTTGGACTTAGCCGGGGCAGCCGTGACGGGCTGATTAATCTGAGGCACCTTGTCCACCTGTTGCTCAACATCTTTGCCGTCTTGCACTTCAGCCACGCTCGTCTTGGACGGCCGGTTGCGGGGCCGTTGTTTACCGCTTTTGTTTTTCTCCTTGGCGTCCAGTTCATCCTGCAAACGACCATAGTAAGTAAATCGACAAATGTGAATACGAGAAGAACAATAATTAATTATTGTAATAATATTTTCGCCTTGGGCCGAGCTGACTGTGGTTCATCGGTCACGCTGGCAACTAACCTGGATGATCAATAACAGAACCACCAGCAGACAGCATCGTGACAGCATAATAAAAATTTGTTCGGCATCAAGATAAACGCAAACGCATACTGATGGGCTAACCTTGACGCCCGGTAGCTGTTCCGTTTGATCGTGATCACTGGTACACATGTTTTTTTTATTAATCGTGTAAACAAATTAACAAGTTAGCTTCCAAATAGCCCGCAAGTGTTATTTTACCGTTTGTTTTTTTTTTTTTTTTGCATTCGCATACGGTCGTACCTACTATAACACAAATCTATATTTGATCAAAACCCGATCGACTGTAGTCGTCAGAAAAAAAAAATAATAATAATAACAATAGTGTTGCGCTTAAACGAAACAGGTATTAGATACACGCATATTGATTATTATAATTTTTTTTAATTATCATCCTAGGCGTTTTTCGGTATTAAAAAAAAAAAAAATAGCGCGATATATTGTAAACAGCCAGCACAGTGGGATCGGTTAGTTCACAGATCTGTAGCAATTGTTACAACCGAAAGTTGTACAATTACTTCTGATGTTTGTTACATATTTGTTTTGGCAACAAAATAACGTTATTATTTAAATACTGAATAAATTTCAGGTACCCGCCAATAAAGTATATCTAATGTCAAAAAAGATTAAGTGAGTACTTTGGCAAATTTAAATAAAATTCATTAACGCTCCAACATCCATTTGCAGTTCAATTTCATTTATAAAAAACAAATAAACATTTTTCCCGAAAATCGTTCCTAACAGTATCCAAACTGTAAGCTAAAGATCACGAGCACCTTAAGGGCGGTAAGAAAAAATCTCTCCCTACTGAGAAAGACATTAGATCATGAACATGTAATTTAGAAAATATTGATGTATACGTTTTTAAGGGGTTTTTCTCGGTTTAAAAGAGATAAACTTAAAAATGACACTTTCTCAGATACGATTGGAAGCAAAAATAAAATAAAAAAAGGCTTACTACATAATTTTAAAAATGTCTCCTGTTATATACGCTGGTATTCGCTATATTTACGCTCTATATATATGTCTACTTTTTACTAACAAAATTATGATTTCACCTATGTACATAACCCTACCCCTTCGTAAATTTAGACCAATAATTATAGTATAATACAAAAGTAAAACAGTGCTATAGCGGACGACAATGTGTACCTTGTGATTTTAAATCTGTAAGTAACTGCATTTGCGGCAAGTCAATTCAATTATATATTTAGAGTGAGTATAATTATAATTTAACCAACTGATGTGCAGTATGATATGTCTCCTCGCGTCAAAACCGAACAAGGCGATCGCTCGTCTGTAATATTCTATCCCGGTGTGTATCTAAATTGCATAGCCTAAGTGCCGTATAACTGATAGTCATACTAAAGAAACCGATCAGGTATAATAATTTATTAATACAATATTAATTGTAAGGATCCCATATCAAAATGGTATTACACGTGTCTATTTAAATTATGAGTATAATAAAGGCTATAAAACAGTGGTTATTTTTATTTGTTGTCTGTGATGAAGCATGCTGGTAGCTAAATTTGAATCAAATTTTAAATATAATATTTAATTTTACTATAGTCGACATGTACAGGTACATGTGACAGGTATAGTGGGTACAGGGAGAAAACCACAATTTAACTATTTATTTGATTGGAAAAATGAAGTATTTGTTTGAAGTTCTAAATTGAGTTCGTTTTAACTCTTTAATTACATACTGTCAACATGTGTGGCTCAGCGATAAAGGCAACGAACTCGGTATTAGGCTTATGATTCGATATTTTAATTAGCAAACATTGTAAAACAGAGGTTGATTACAAACACTACGTGGAATAAATAATAATGCTTATTTACAATTTGTCTGTAAAACAAACACAGGTAAGTAATGTAATTGATACCAGTTCGTAAAAAACATAAATTTAAGTAAAAAATTGAATCATATAACATAATATTTAACAGCGACAAATGTATGAAAACAATTAAAACTGAATAATTATAAAAAAAAAGTCAAGTATGTATAACAATATAAATCAAATTGTTTAGCAAAATGGAACAACACAAATCAATCATTCAGCTGACAAAAATAAATTTAAATGATTGGTACTAAAACAAATTATGTACATGACAATGTTATTTTAATAATGGTACATACTAGTTTCTTCTAGTCTATAAATTATAATAAAACATATTTTTAATCAATTTTGACTAGTCCATATACTTAAGTATAGAAAAAAGAAACGGATCCATTAATTTATTATCATTATATAAAGTATATAATTGACACATCCGAAATAGCTCTAAAAGAACTAATGATAAAATAATGTAAAGGACGCTTATAAATATGTAGATAGGGTCAAGAAGGGCCAATGTCACTTTTTGAAAAGTTGACAAATAAGCTTTTAAATTTTCATTTTGCATAAGGTTCCATAAGTTTTCATTTAATCTCAATAATTATAATTTCTTAAATAATAAACTAAGAACTATGATTTTTGTTGGACTAGATAGAGCGTTCAATGATGTATATAATGGGTATTGTAACTCTTTTTGACTAAAATTTGAGATTGGCCCTTCTAGACCCAAGCCCCGGAAATAATTTTTATCTATTAATTATTATCTACTTAATATTAGCTATTAAGTTAATCTAACTATTAAAATCTCATAGTCATTATATTTTTATAACATGTTATTTTACTTATAAATAAAATGCAAAATTTAATACAGAAAAGGAACTTTCAAAAAGTATATAGTAACTAAATTGTTCACTCATTATAAATTTAAATAATTATTATTTAGTTTAGCACAAATGATTGTTAATGTAGCATAATGTAACTAGGTTTCGTAGGTAGTTATAGTACTTATAAACTTATTACTACAATATAATATTTGATATTATATGAATTAAATCGAATAAGATACTTAATCAATACACCAATGACTAGTTTAATCCAAAAGTAGTTATCTAACTTAGCATCTGCTCTAGTGCTTGAAATATCAATGATTTGTACAATATAACTTTTTACTACTTCACTAAATACGTTTTACAATACTAAATGGTAATTATATAGAATACAATAATGATAATTCAATAATTTTATATTATAGGTACTACAATTTTTTTTTTATCGTTTAAAGGTTCGATAATTTCATAGACATCGAATAATTATGATTAAAATATTATTGAGGAATTTAAATTTATCTACGAATAAGGTAAATCGTATAACTACAATTATTAATTAAGCAAGTGACTACCGAATTATAATGTTATGTTAAATACAAGACGTTTAAATAATTTACTAGAATTCTATAATCTCTACAATTATGTATAGGTATGTTACTTTTAGTTAAAACATTTAAAGGGATTGTGTGCGGTTTGTTTTTAAGGAGTTTTGTATAGGCAATATTTAAGAAAAAAGAGGTTTTAATAAATGTTGACTATGTCAATTATTTTACTGGATAATTTATATAAACTACAAGGTATTATTTTTTTAATTTAAATAATTTTTTCTATAAGTAAAAGCCACTTCTGTTCATTTTTTACCAAAAAGCTAGACAACATTTAGAATACATAGGATGGTTCAATTTTAATTCTATAAAGAGATTCGAGTTTACTATGTTGTGTAGGAATCCGATTTTCATTTAAAAATGTAAGTTTCATATGTTTAAATAAATTAAATTTGCAATTTTTTCAATATTAAAACCCAATATTTTTACATAAAAAATGCAAAAAATGTTTAATCTGTTTCATACACATTCTAGTAAAGTTGTTAAAGAACTCGTCTATTTTTACATAATTGAAATCTGACCGTTCTTAGTAGTCGGGATTTTTGGTCTAAAACGTCAAAAAAACAGACCGCATGCAGAATTGATTATTTGCGTTATTTACAAATGATTTATTACCTATCTTTATATAGATTTTCAAATATATATATATATATATATATATATATATATATATATTTTAATACTTAATATACCTATTTTATTTTTAAGTAATTAATTCAAACCGTTTTTTTTTTATAGATATTACATAAATGAATTTCCACAACTAAGAATATTTGTTTAGGTTAAACTTATAGCATCCAACTCATTTTAAATTATTATGAACATGGTACATAAGCATAACGTAATATATACAATTTTATACCTATTATTAACAATTTATACTTAATATAAATTAATCAGTATGGTGCACTTTGTAAGGCGCTGAGCCTGATCTAGCTCCGCTGTTATTAAAACGTGTCTTTTGTTCTGGTGGAATTCTTGGACCTAATCTGGCTAGTCTACCAAAACGTTCAGAAAGATTCATGGTAGATGGCTTATTCAACTCCGCCATTAGATCAAATTTGAACGGTTTATGTGTAGACCACTGAAATTTGTTTAAAATAGATTTATAAAAAATAATGATATTATACTATTATAGTAACAATTAACGGGTAGTTAATTTTTAAATGCGATTATTTACTCTATCGGTCTTGGAAGACTTGGGTTTGTGACAGTTTGTCTTCTTGTGTGATATTTTGTTTTTGTCCTTTTCTGTTTTTATAATTACTGGTCTTGCAAGTGATCCGGACAGTCCCTTTCTTTTGTTAAAACCTTCTAATGTCGAATGTCTCGGCACGGAAAACGATCTTGATCTAAAACAGAGAAATTTCTTTAAATTTGTATTAACAGAAATTTAACACCATTACCGAAATGGAGTTTCGAGAACTAGTTTATTCCGAACAGCATCTGTTTGATCTTCTGATTTGACGTGGACCTCTGATTTGACGCAAGGTTCTGATTTGATGTAAGTTTCTGCGCTTGATGAACTGGTCTGCAATGGCGAAAAGTAGTAATATAAAATTGCAGTTGTTTTTTTTTTCGTTCTTGCATACTTACTTTTCCAGAAAGATATTCAGTATAAACTCGATCATTCTTTCTGAATATCCCCTTTTTCGAGGACCGTGTAAAAGTCCTACGATTACTACCTGAGGTCGATAGGGGAGAATTTGATGATTCCGAAGATGTACTTTCGTCCATTGAACAATGTGAATTTACGAAAGCCTCTGAATCAGACGGACTTCTCTGGAAATATAATCAGATTAATTAGCGTTAAATTGTTTTGAATGTTGCGATGCTGAAAAGATACATTAATTTTACAATTATTTCCTATATTTTGTAAGCTTACTTTTTCAGAAGTCTGTCGGTTGCGACATTGACCGAACGCTTTGGATTTTCTTTTTTTTTGTTGAGAAACATTTGCGTTTGGCCTTCTATGCAATGGTCTAGGCGGTTTTATGCGCAACTTGTTTGTGTTTTTTGAATCGAGTGCCGATGGAGATTTTTCAAAAGGTGAACGGCGTCTTGGCGTTTGAGATGTGGTACGACTTTTAGATAAAGACCGGCGCGGGTGTCTTCTATCGGATGAACGACGCAAAGATCTCCTATCGGATAAACGGGATGGTGACATTTTTCTTTTGCGAGATAGTGATAAACTTGAACGACTAGAAGATGAACTACTCAACGATCTACGGTTCCACCTACAAAATACAATTCATGCAAGACTATATACATTTTTAACAAATTAGTGACATTGAAAATAAATAAAATAAAATCCCACACACTTTTTTTCAGGTTTAATTAAGATTAATTTGTTTTTACTTATAAGTTTTTACTAATCAAGTTTGAAATACGTGTGACGTGTTAGTGGCGTCTAAGTGTTGTGTAATTATTTAAAACAAAATTTAATTGATTAAATTACGAATAATTAATTTTAATTTGTCATTAATTTGACATAATAATATAAGCATTAGGTACCATAAGCAATAAAATTAAACTAGTGATAAAATATATTCTAATGAATGGGTAAAACAATAAAAAGGAAATTTAAGTCTTATAGTATAAAAAAACTGTTCCATTTTTATTTCAATAATAATTATTTATTAAACTAGATAATGTATTATTATGACAATGTAAAAAAGTACATTCACTTAATTTACCTGTTACGATATTTATCTTCAGATGAGTTAGTCGAAAATTGGATTGGATTCTTATAGTTTTGTGCTGAATTTTTATACTTCCTCATTGTTAATTCTTAAATATTAAATACAAAAATTATAACATTTTGATTTTTAGCTAACAAAATATTTAGTTCAATTTACCGCTACCTCTAGATTTTCCACGACTTGTCGAGGCACTTCTATTGACACTATTCATTTTAGACTTTTTCTAGCTTTAAAATTTGATTTAAATTACTTACATAAACATCAGAACAATAGCAAGTTAGTTAGTACATGTATTAAAACCAAGTTCCCCACCTGCGACGCAGTGATAAACACATGCTAAAATATCATTTTATTGCGCTTTTTGCCCCACACGCTTATGAAAAAATTTTAATACATTTAATTATAAAGACAGACGAAGAGTTGAATTCAATTGATCAATAAGACGAATGCATAAAGCCGAAAATTCTATGAATCAACATAATTTTCAACAAAAAAATAACTTTGGGCAAACAAAATTAAATATAAACAACAATAAAGGTAATTTTAACCATTTGTCTATAGGTCCATCTAGTACGCTACAGGTTACCTAACTATGCAATGAACAAGCTGAAGAAATTATTTTTAAAAAACTTCAGCTATCGCTCGAAATCTCTAAAACGAATTCAAGTCATACATAGCAAAATGTCAATTGCCTACTGTTAACTTATAAAAAAAAATACTTTTATTAATTCGAAGAAATGTACAAATGTCGTTTCGAACAATTGTTTTTGTAAGAATAATCGGTAGCTAATATAAACTAAATGTTTCGACATCAAATGGAATGAATGAAAACTAATTATTTGATACTTTAATTGGATTATAGCCAGAAGAAAAGAAAAGAAAAAGAACGACAAAAAATGTTACCAATTGCTATACTAGAAAAGAAATAGCCACCCATACCGGTAAAGATATGTTGAATTTAGTAACAGGAGCTATGCCCGCATCCCCCAAATGCGCCTAAATTTATTAACTAAAAAAATACGTGTTAAAAGAAAAGCGGTAGGTGTGTTATACTACAGCTCTAACACACGATATTGCTACTGCAGCTATCCGACACAGTCTAAACAATTAATATACTTTACATAAGACCCTGTGGCTAAAATAAAGTTCATTATAAATAAATAGCAAAGCTACGTAAGACAAATTAAAAATGACGAAAACTTACAACTCCTCTGGAATATACATTGATCGAGTTTTTAGGGAACGTCGTCGAGCTCAACGTTGGAATCACAATTATTATTAAAATTCAACAACTTTTCGATCGTTTAAAAACAAGAATCTTCTTGGGTGAGAAAATACAAATATCATATACAATAGCGCACTTGTACCTCTAGAACGGCGTTGGTAACTAATTCTGTGACCTGAGGGGTGTGTAGGTATCCGAAAATAATCAATATAGCAATGATATGGAGCGCGCTTTGCGGGTTGAAGCTGCACTTTAACAACAGTGTTACCACCTTTTACTCGTCTGATCAGATCAGCCAAACACCCCAAAAGTTTAAACCGAACATTTTTTAAAAAGATGGTATTCTATTTCAAGTAATTATTAAATTGGTATATTTTAATTTTCGGATGCAAAGACTAGTAACTAAAACTGAATAATTTGTTTATTAAGTAGGTATCCGATACTGGTCATTATACATCACATAACTAACTATTATGTTGTGTTCAGACTTGTTATTAAATATATTAGGTTTAAAATTATATCTGTTGTAAGGGTCTTATTATTTCAAAGCACGTTATATTTTTTAGCGTATAGGATACTTACTCAACGGTACTTAAAATTACTATAATATTATCAGTTTGAAATTATTTCATTTTTTAATTTATACGAAACAGGGCATGATATCCAAAAAAATATATAATTTAAAATAAATAATTTTGTCTAAAAATTAGAATATATCACTTTAGTAGCTCTAAATACTATTTAATAAATTATCAAATAAAATCAATGGTGGTCGGGGGACAACTGAAACGGATGTTACAATATAGAAATGTTATAACTTTTCATCGCTGGTCGATATTAATTGTTAATTATTATTTCAATAATTTAAACTTTAAACCATATTCAAGTGCGCCAAAAAAGTAAATTTGTAAATATGGGTGTATCCTTTAATTTTGTAAAAAATGTTTACAAGCCACATACAACATACATCTTTAGACAATTTAGATTAGAACTTAACGCATAAAACCAGTGGCGTATTTATAGGGGAAGTTGAAGTGGTTGCAGCCCTCTCCGAAGTTTCAGAAAGTCTAAATTATTAACTACAGGTAGTATATGTCATATTTTTTAATTTTGGAATATCAAATATTAGACCTCCTCGAAATAATCCCTGTCTACACTATGGTTTAAATTTATTTTGGTTTTGCATTGGTATAAAATATGTAAAATAAATTATTAAAATGGTTAACCTGCATGGTCCTCCGAAAAATAAAAAAAAATGAAATCTACATTCTACAATATAGTTAAACTAGTAAAAAGAATAATTAAAATAAAAAATAAAATAGTTATTTCGCTTTTCTCTCTATTCCTTTAAAGATATAGGTATCTATTTTAATACTGAACCTATTTTTTTATTAATTTCAAAAATATATTTAAATCATTATATTTTAACAACAACAAAATGTGTTACAAACATGTAAATAAAAGGAAAGTTTAAAAAAAATTTAAGAGCTAATGATAAAAAGCTTCATTATTGAACGACTATTCGAGAGATTGGTATAAAATACAAATTCGCATACATGAAAAAATGTATATTTACTTTTTAGTTTTTAATAAAATTATTAAATTTATTTTTATGTTAATTTAGAAAAATACATTCCATACTTTACTAGATAATATGATAATACATTTTTAAATTTTTTAATGAATTACTGGTTATTTTCATTAAAAAAAAAAATTATAAGAATAACATCTAATTCGATTTGTATTACTTAGGTATTTATAATTTATAATTTAAAGGAGAGAGGAATTACATTTTATATAACAACTACTCATTAAATACTAACATCGTGTTTTATACAAGAACTGACAAGTGTTAAACAATAATAGTAATAATAATAATTAAATAATAAGTATTACAAATAGGTACCTATATTGTTGTGATGTTCCCATAGTTACCACAGTATCAACAATAACTGGCATCACAATAACAACCCTTATGGCGGTACAACCATTGATTAGATCATTTCAAAACAAACCGAGATGAGCATTTGTTGTTTGATTTCAGATTCCACATTGTCGAGTTATACATACTCATCATAACAATATCCTATAATGTTCAGCGATAGCCCTGCGAACGTCGTCGGGTTCAATCACCTTGCAATACATAAAAAGGAGTAAGTATGAACACAGTTAATGATTGTAAATAATATAGTATTAATTTTTTTTTTTAACACAAATTTCATTTACTTTTGGACTTAGAAAAACAGACGTTTCTTGTCAATACGCAGGACTACGAACCGAAGACAAACTGTGCGGCACCACAGATGTAAAAACTACATCGGTTAGTATATCTACCTAAGAAAAAATATATATATATTCAAGTTAATACTACAAAATTTTTAAAAAGTAATACACAAACCCATACTGATTAGACTCAATCCGTTGATGAACAAGACCGCAATGAAAATAATGTTGACTGGGACGCGCTGAATAGATCTCTTAAAAAATGCTTGAAAATTCTCGAGACTGACCGTAACGATTGGCCGACTGTTGACGGTCATGTCTATTCAAACGATGTTGAAGCAACTGGCAATGTCAATTTGATGGTGTCGTTGAAACAACAGCCACAATTTGGAACGGTAAAATTAATTACCTATTTACTTGTTTCATAAAGCTAATACAATTGTCAATAAACAACAAATTATAACATAAACAGGACATTGTCATTAGTGGGATAATTTTGGGTAAAAGTTTTTTCGATTAGACAATTTTCAATGATTCTAGCAAAAATGTTTCAATAATTCGAGAATTACTAACAGGAGATAATTATTGACAATAGATCATAAAAATATATACATTTTATATGATAATTTTAAACCGTTTTATTATTTAGTAATCATTCAACATATGTATTAAACCATGGGTTGTAATTAGTATACAACCCAGTAGAAATATCAAATATCATTCAAATGTTACAGTTGATTCATATTCAAAAATTAGTTGGTTAAAAATCTTAAGTCCAAGTCAATATAATTTCAATAAAGTACTCAGTTTTTAATTATTTCATAAAATAAGTAGATAGTAGTTGGATAAAAACTATAGGTAACAAAATTAATATTAATCCAACAACTTTCAATATTTTGTAACCATTCTTTGACCAGAAATTTAATGACTCACAAATATTGCTTACAAAATATTATTAAATATATAGATTTAATGTAATTAGAATTCTTAAACAATATTTTGGTTTAAGTGGTATTAATTGTAAAACATTAATAAAACAAAAATTATTATAAAATATTTTTGTAATATTTAAACGTATTTTAAAATAATGAAATTTTTACTTCAATATATTATGTATACAAATCGGTTATAACTGATTTACCTAATGAGCCTTAAGTTAAACTTGTGTACTTAACTGTTAAAATGATAACTACACTTACATTGTGTTTAATATACAGTTTATAATTAACAGATTTTATTTAAATTTATTGGACCGATACCTAACACAATTATTTTATTTTTTTAACTGTTCAAAATGCATTTAATTAATAATAATTAACATGCATATAAAACGCTAATACAATACATGAATAAGAGAAAAAATCGAAATAAAAAAATTTGCAATAAAAAATGTAACAACTAATATTTTGTTTCTTAAAATGTCAGTTGGGTTGCATTTTTTCAGAAAAAAATTAGTGCATTGAAATGGAACTGCAATGGTGATAAACTGATGGTGGCGACAGGCGAACATAATCACTCACAATGGTGTAATCATTTAAATTCGATTTTTGTATTCTCTACAAATGAGTAAGTAATCAATTAAATTTAAATGCAACTTTTTTTTTCTCCCTAAAGCCCAACGCAATGTAGTGTATTATAAAATCCGGCTTAAAAGGTAAACATTTATAATCTGAATTTTATTCTCAATTTGTAGTATTCTTTTTTAGATATTGTCAGACATTTTAGCATCATAACTAGATTTGGTAGTGATATAATAAAGATAAAACTTTTTAATTCTTATAATATGTTTAACTTTGTTGGTTGTTTTAAACATAATTGTATAATAATTAGGAAATCACATTATTTAAATTTTTTTTATAAATTATAAAATATGTCTAAGCAAGTGACTCATTAGTTTTGAGATTAATGACAGTTAATCTTTATTATAAGTTTCATGTACTGACTACTGCCCGATTAACGGATTGTCTGGCAACTACTCAACAAATTATTCAATGCTTCATTAGTAATAACAATAATTTTTGTAAACAATAAGCATAATTTTTATACAGAAATTTAGAAAAATATTTATTAGTAATTTTACTATGTTATGTAATAAGGGTTCTACAAAATCGTTTAAAAACATTACCTTTTTGGGCTATAAATTAGTTTTACTAGTATATTGTATTTTAACCCGTGTTTTAATAGACTAATCATAACAAGTAAATAATAATTTAACTAATAAATAGTTAAAATAATAATTAATAACTAATAATGATAAATAATGTTTAGTTTGGAAGAAGCTAACTGCACTGCATCAAACAAACTAGAAGTCACGTCATGTATCAACTGTCTGGCAGCACATCCGACCAATGAACACCTTATAACGGCTGGCTTATACAATGGTACCTAAAATAAAGTTTCAAAATCATATAAGTACATAATGCTATACAAAAAAATAATAATATCATTTATAAAAAAAAAATTAACTTTGTACCTAAACTATTTTAAACTATTAACATAGATATTTGTGTAAAAAATAAATATTTATTGCATATTATAATAATTAAGAATTAACTTTGTTTTGCATTAAAACTAAGTGGGAAACTTAAGTGTACCGAAATTTGATTGTAAACTAATAGTTTTTACATTTTTTATTATACAACCTAATTTTTTTATTTTTTATTTCAATTTTTCATTTAGTACATAGAGTATATAAAAAGATCCGACTCATTAACTTATGAAGGCTATAAGATATATCGCCGAAAACCAAGTGAAGATTAATAATATAAAATATATAATGTAAATATTTCTACATTTTAATTGGTTTTGTTATTTTTATAAAAAGGCCAATAATCATTTTAAGTAAACCATGTAACCTAATATATTGTAACAGGTGAAGTGTTTGTTTGTAACACCAACGGGAACATGGAAATAGCTTTACTAGATTGGCATACTCACATGGTGATAGAAATATTATGGTTTACAAGATCCGATCATCGTACGGTTTTAGTGACGGCTGGCAAAGACGGATACGTATGCGTAGGTGTCATGGTCAGCAACAATATCAAATACACCCAAAGATTATACAGGTGATCTACAAAAAAAATTATAAATATATTTATATGTCTTGAGTTTTATACACAGTATACTTTTTATTCAAAAAACGTTTACGACAGATACTTGGTCGGTGTTCCAGACAAAATTGGCATTCAATGTTTCGATTACACAGACAGGCATTTCGGCGTAGCTCTAGAAAACGGTACTATGTCTTGTTACATGTGTTCGACAGGAAGAAATGCTAAAGGTAATTGCTGCTTACCAGTATTTTATCAGAGGCACACTATTCCACACCACCAATCAGAGGTTGTGTGCTAGGCGCGTTTTTTTTAAAGTGGTATCCCCAGTAGGCCTAATCCACTATTTATGGAGAAACTAAGGATTACTTGTACCGTGCAATTTGTTTATTTTTTCAACTTTTTCTTTTTTTTTTTGGTGTGGTTGGTTATTAATTTGCTATAAATTATTTTTGTTTATAATTTTTAAAGAATTTTTTTTTTTTTTATATGTAAAATGAATCGGGTATAATATTTTTTAACTTGTGGAAATTCGCATTTGTATAAAAATATATATATCAATTAAATTACAATTGAACTTAATAATAATTAACAGTGTTTACAACAACCATACTATTTATTACATAAAAAAAAGATAATTCTAATGGCTTGTGGTATGTTACAACACGATAACGATTTTATTTTGTACTATAATAATTAATGTAAACAAATATTATTTTGGTTCAAGATGATAAGGTCATTGACGCTGTAACAATAAATGAATATCGAGGAAATTCGATGACAGTCGAATGCATGAAGTTTTGCCAGAAAAATAGTGATCTATTCGTCGTGACTCAGTTTGACTTCACAATATTACTCTACAATATCTACCAGGTAAACTAGGTAAAGGCTTAATGAAAAATTGAATACAAATACTAATTCGAATTGCTTATTAAATCTAGAAAAATCCTGTTAAAACTATTTTTCATAGCAAACTAATAACCAGATTATGTTGGTGTTTACATGACGAAAACATTGTTTATGTCGGAAGAGAAAATGGAGAAATCGCTAAAGTCAATATAAATAAAGGAACTATTGTAACGGCCAAGAAAATCACGGACGGTAATTTTACTTCAATAGATATAAATAAGAGGTAAGCCAATTTATTTAACTTTATTGAAGTTATTCATTACGCTGTATAAAAATACTTTTTGTTCTTTAATTTTACAGAAAACCTATTATCGCTATCGGTACAATGGAAGGGAATATTCATATAAGTAGCTATTAGTTAAGCAATTTTGAAATTTAGAACATTTATATAAAATAAGATTTTACATATTGTTTATAGACAATTAAAATGTATTGTATTGTGTATAATAAAAATATTAATTTTGACCGGAATAATGTTAATTAATTAATTAATAAATATTTTACTGATAAATGTATGCGGTTTTTTTAGAATCAAGTGTAATGAAATTTGTGCTACTTAATAGCTACTTTTAATTTAAAGGAAGGTGTAAGTCAAGGGGAATAAAAGGAATCGTATTGACAAAGTAATAAGTATTGTGGATTTTTAATACGTCTGGGTGAAGGAATTATATAAAAATACATAGTATTTTTATAAGAATGAGATCGTATAAGGAATACTGACAACAAAGGAACGGCTGTCAGTTCTTGTTTTTTTTTTTTTTGTTTTTTTTTTTACTATTTTTTTTTTTGTTCTTAATTATATACTGTTTTTGTCTTAACTTAAAGTGATACAAAAATTCTAATTTACTTAAGCTAAATAAAAAAAAAATCTACTAAATGTTTATAAATTAACAACAATTTATAAATGTATAACTGTAAAACAATTTAAGTAAATAAAAATAATATTAATTCTTTTATAAATACAAATTGGAACAATTATTTTACAACTGAGAACAGTCTTACAAAAAATTCCAATTCATTGCAAAAAATAATATTGACGAGACATTTTTTTTTTAAACAATAATAAAATAATTTATTATAAAAAAAAATAATAATAATAATACAGTAATATCACACTAATGGCCGTACTTCTTCTGTATGAAATAACAATGTAATAATTAAACAGCCAGACATGTACTGTGTATTATAATAATATATTGTTTTTTTTTTAAGTTCATCTACCGAAAATGAAAATAATAGTACAATACTTTTTCTGTTTTTTTTAAGATATTGTTAACTTAAATGGTCCATTGGGTACAAATTCCTAAAAACTATAAATATAACTGCAACACATATTAGGAGAATATCAAAACTATACAAAATTGCCCACAAATGAAAACACAAAGCCATGTTCTTAAAATACACAATACATACATGTTATAAAACAAACACACTCGCAATAAATGTGTTTCACTAGTGTCACAATTCAAATAATTTGACAGTCTCTATTATATGTGATATGAAATGCATACCAATCTCATAAATTACTTAAATGTATGTTAAACCTAATCTGCATTGAGCAGTCGGTGGAATATTGAGCTACAATACTTAGATCTATTTATGAGATTGACATGTTGTTTGGTGTGAAAATCATAAACTGGTTCCTTGTTTTTTTTTTTTTATTACCCATCACGTGTCATTGCACCGTATTTTATAAAATTAACCTTATTAATAGTTACACATATTCATTAGGTACAACACATATGAAGGCTTACTACGCGTAACACATATGGTAAGTAAACCTTAAAAATATTATTGTTCCATATCACAATGTTTACACTTAAATTAAAACTTAGAGAAAGGTCATAAACATATGTATTTGAATAATTTGTTTTGTTGTTGCCATTTTTTTTTTTTTTTAATTGCACTGAACATTTAAAACGTTTATCACATTTATAATAATTAATTTCATAATTCAAATAAAATATTAAAGGCGGTATTGAACAAACAAAAATAGGTAACTCATTAGGGGTCAACAGAAATTCCCGTTAAACTGCTATAGCACAACACATACTTGTATATGTTCTTTTTACTTTAAATACCATTTTTTTTTTTTTAATATATACATATATAAATATATACATGTACTCGGGCATTTTATTCAAATACAATGTTATAACCAATCACTGAATAAAATGAAATTGAGTTGCTGACATTACATAACATATAAATATCACAATAACGAGTGAAAATGTTTTTAGCCATAATTTTAACAAGTTTCAGCTGTGATTTGTACGAACATTTTTTTTTTTTTACAGCTTATTATTCACACAGACTTGATTATTAAATATTACAACTATTTATCAATCAGCAATTCAAGTAAATTATAGCACTTTAATATGTTAGAACTGTGGTTTTATCATATACTACCTAGAGACTAAAAATGTATATTGCATTGTTTATAGCTCACCTAAATAAGTGACTAGACACTGATGCAACAATCAGTCCATGATGAGTTTTGTCATAAAACAATAAAAAAACAAAAATGTTAAAACTAAATAATTTTGTTACTTAAATTTTAGAAATTAACTTTTAAAAAAGACTGATAAGGTAAAATAATAAACTATATAACATGTAATTAAACATGGAATACTAAATTAAAATGTCAATAAATTTCATTACATATGAACTATTTAGAAAAAAAAAAATTAATGCCTATTGAAAGTTAAAATTTTAAAATTTGAAGACAACTCCATCATGACCAAAGGTAAAGAAAGGGGGGGGAGGGGTTACAATGATTTTCCCTTTTTGATTACAATATAAAAGGTGGAGAGTGTATACATTAAATCAAGGAAAATCACAATAAACATCATTGTGTAAAAACATAACATAAAAAAAAAAAAATAATAAAACAACAATTGTTAATATTCCAAAGGCAACTCCAAAGACTGCTTAGATAGTTATGTTGAAGAGAAGATGTGATTTTTGCATTTTCTTAGCTTCGGCTTGACAAGAGCTTAACCATTGCGTAGGTGGCAACGGTAAGTCTCCGGGAGAGGGGCAATTGTTGAATTTGGCTCCGGCGTAATATTTATCATCCCCAGGTGACTGGCACCGCTCATTGAAGCTCATCAGTTGTTGAAGTAGAGCGTACTTTTCAATAACCATTTGTTGGATATCATCTTCTTTAAATTTCTTGCATTGTCCAAACTTCTTGGGAGACTCATACGAAGGCGGGCTGTGATGTAATGGCACATCTTGTAGACGTTTGAATGGAGTGTCGATAGGTTGCGAACGTAACAAATTAGGTCTTTTATCTTTAGTATGTTGATTTCGCTTAGTTCCTTTGTGAAATAGTGTTCTGTCATCTGTAATATTATCATCTCCATCTGATAAGCTACGATCTACAAAATTCCTAATAATTTTAGTCTTAGAATGTGATTCATCGTAGCTAAGGTGCTTGACGCAAGCAGGCGTTTTTGATTTGGGTTTCCTCGAATCGTGAATCAGTTTAGAACTTTTCAACGGATTACAATCCGTTTTTGGTAAAACTTTTGTTTTACTTCTATGCGTGTTGCTCGGTAAGCTATTTCTTCTTGGGCGCATTGGTTTAAACATCTTTGTAATTTTCATCAAATGTCTTTCCAGTTTCAAAAAATACTTAATGAGCAAATTCAACCTACATAAAGAAAATAATGTGTTATTAGCATTTTCAATCCGATAACTTTTTTTTTTTACTATTAGATCATAGTGCAAATGCTACCATTTAACTAAATTATAATAGGAGCTAATTAAAAATATTGGGTAGAAATATCATACATAAAAATTGCCCAGAATGAAATCCATTAAATATTTAACTTAATGTGTACTTGGAAAACTGATAAACAATTGAACCTAGGGGTGGAACTACCGATTGGCCAAACTCATAGACCAGAGATTCATGAATACTCATTTAAAACAAATTGAACTAGAAGTTGTAGTAATGATGAATGAAGCAAAACTTAATGGCCAACCAAGTGTATAATACATAGCCAATTATGAATAACTTGGCATGAAATTTAAAAAAATTAATAAAAAGGGATAAGCAACTATTGAAAAGCTATACAAAATGTAATGTACAATTTTAAAACCGGTTTTATTTTATTTTTTTACTTAATAATGTTAATAACATAATTATAATATTTATTTAGTTTTATAAATGGTAAATTGTTTTTCTGTATGTAATTATAGAGGCAGCAGAGGAAAAATTGACTACCTATTTAAACGTTCAAAATTTGCAGATTTATTTTTTTTAATTAATAAAACTGTGAAATAAACATACATAACGTATCTTAGATTTAAAACTACTTATTTACTTTATAGATAAAATCTATAATTTAATGTGCCAAAGCACACAATAAGAGCAATATATCACCATTTATATTTTAAAAGGAAGATTGCCAATTGACACTATGTCTTAAAAAAATGTCAAAATGTTTTGCAATTTTTTGTTTTGCACTTTATTTTGTTTTTAGTAACTAGAAAATATCCTACAAGTCCTGCCAGGCTAACTTCATATAATTAGACGCAGTCATTTTTATTTAAAAGAAAGTTGTGTAAATTCTGCTTCACATGACTGCTTAGAGATCAATCCGATCCCTTAGATTGCTGGTTACACCACTAATATATGTATTTAAATTAATCAAAACAAACTCTTCCATTTTGATATTTCATAATAGTATTGCGATCATTTGGCATTGGCTTTGTTTTTCTTATTCTAAGGAAATTATGTTAACCATCATCTGCTCGCGCCTGCTAAAGTAACACTACTGCTCGCTACGGCGGCAATTTGGCTGCCCGTGATTTTCCATGAATTTTTTTTTCATTTAATATGCATGTTTCGAAATAATTAGGACCAATTAACTCTTAACACAACCTGCAAAAAAAATGTTGACCAAAAATAGCTACACAAAGCTACTGTGGGGGGGGGGGCTGGTTCGACCAAATTTGATCACAATCTAGCGGAGGTATGTGTAACTAGAGAATACATGCTCCTACCACCGCTCTCTCAGCATTTTGGAGAAGAATATACTCAACAATTGTAAAGGGTGACCAATTTGCCACCTGCACGAGCCAATGAAAGTTAAGGATGTGTTAATTACAGTTATCTTAATTTGGCTGTCGAGCTATAACCTAGAGATTATGGTTTTTTTTTTTTGTTATCGCATAGTCTATTTTTCAATTAATAGAAAAAAATGAACGAACTACAAGTTAATAAAATATATAGGTAAACAGATGTTGATTTAATTTTGATATTCCATTCATATATATATTTTTTAATACTATTAAGGGTCCCCTACACTAGCATTTATTAAGACAATCATAAAAACAATTATTCACTAAAACTTATCCTTCAGCAAAAAATTATAAACACAGGAAAGTGAGATCTTTTTCAAGATTTTTTGAGATTTTTTTTAAGACTATTATAACACATATAGGCCATATTTTTTATTAAAAACGTATATTTCTACTTTAAACAGTACGTTCCTAAAAATACTCCGATTCAAGTTTTGAAAATAAATTTGGATTCTTCATAACATTTACAAGGTAAGGTTATTTTTAGTTATATGATAATTTCCATGTGAAAAATTGCAATTTTTTCAGGTTTATTAAGGATTTTAGGATACATCAAGCAGGTATTCAAATATCATCGGATTACACATTTCAGAGTACAGTTAAAATTAAAACGAGTTGTTTTCGACCAAAAATACGCAGGTGTAGAGGCCTAATTTAAATAAATAGTCGAGTACATGCATGAAACTAAAGTTTTTTTACAAACAGTTGAGTTTTTCCAAAATAAAAATGAGAATAAGCGTTTGTAGTTTAAATGAAATAGTAATAAACCAAATTACTGCGTAACAGCCGTGCAGTTGAATCAGAAAAAAATACCCAGAGATGTTAAATATACATTTTTTATAGGTATAAAAAGTTCATATTGTTATTATTATTATTAAAAAAAACCCGTCCCGAGGTCGACGCACAGTGACGCTCAAAATCGGTTCGATCGGCTTTTCCATAGCCGTACAAGTTTGGGAACCCCTCGGCGACGGCGTCGGCGGCCAACGTCGCACCTGCTCAGTGCTCAGTCTCCATTTATGCTATTTTCTCCCGTTACAGACTACAGTAAACAAAGATACAAAAAACAACAAGTAACGACGGTGGCCGCCGTGTTATATTATGTCTATTCCTATATTATTGTAGTGTGTGTGTTATATATATATATATATACCATATACGGCATACTGATAAACCGCAAACCGTGTCGACGCAATGTCCCACTTTCTACTTTCCCCCCACCCCGAACTCGAATTACCGGTTACATGGACGGACGGACGGCCGCCATTGAGGCGGTAACACGACGCAACAACAACAAACGACGGGCTAGCGCGCGCCGTATAGGGAAATAAAAATAAAACATATTTTTCGAAATTATAATTAGGTACAATCGAATAAAAGGCATCGGGATTTCTGGGTAAAATCTAAGATACCAACAGCAATAACGTCGCACACACTTACCTTTCGAGAGATATCCTCGAGTAACGTTCGCGCACGTTCGTCGGCGAAATAATGATCCAAAGATGGACACACACGGAGGCGATATTTTGGTTCTGGCGGTGTAGGCCCGTGTCGATCCTGTGCCGTGCCGTGGTCGGGACGCGAAAAACTGGCACTTGACGGCGACCGCGGTAATATTTTTTTTATCGAGCACTCCTCCGGCGACAGCCGTCCGTCGATACGGCACAATGTATTATTATTATTAAAATAGAAAAAATAATAACAACAACACGGCGGCGGCAAACAACGACTCGCGTTAATTATTTAACAATAGCAACTAATTATTATTATTATTATTATTATTGCTACTATACCAATAATATCGTGATCGCGTGCGAAATAAATGTTTTTTTCGTAATATGAAAATATTTCTATAGGCCGACGGAATGACGTGCGCTACTAATCTTTATGTAAAATATATATATATATATAAATAATAATAATAATAAATTATATTTATATATATATATATATATATATATATAAATATCGATAATTAATATTTATAACAATACGGTCAGTGTTACTATGTGGTCACTTCTGGCGCGCGGATCGATCGAACAATGATGGTAGACCACTGCCGCGGACCGAACGTCGCGATAAGATGGTTAACAACAGTCTGTACGATTACTAACTACTATTGGAGATGTAATGCGAACGAGCAGCGACCGGCGGTAGCTGAAGCGAGAACCGCGGCGGCGGAGAGGGGGAGTCGATTGCAATAAAATGGACGCCACACCCCTTCACTCACCGCGCGCGACCAGCACGACCTCTACCGGCGGTGGACGCGTTGCGTCGGCGGCCGCGGCGGACCGTGAATGCAGTTGTGCGTGACAGGCAAAACCCAACGCGGTCCCCCACCAATGAATGGGACGCCGCCGGCCGCTCACCACTGCGCGTCGTAACAATCCGGCCGGCCGCTTTGTCCCGGTCGATATCTTTCGAAACGCGCCTCTCGCGTCGTAATTATTACCATTGACGTCGGTACGAGTGGCGTAGGTACTCACCGTGTTCATCTGGGGAAGTGGTTGAAAAAAAAAATCTGAACTCTACTCTCTAACCCCTGTCTTCCCTACCCCTACGCTGTATTCACGTTCGAACAACATAACTCGTCGGTTGATAGCTCAAATAATAGGCCTGATCATTTGACGTAGGCAACTTTCAATAATAGTCGATAATAAAACTGTACAGGAGGAGCTAAAATAGAGTTTGTGTTGTGGTGCTGGAAAGTTAAATTTTTGTATTTTTGATAATGAAATAGTGTATTTATAATTTAACCTTATACTTGCTAAACTAGCTTGCTACTGCTGGATACACTAATAATTGACTTAAAGTGCCTCTTCACTAGCATTTATTAAGGCGCATTGTATAGGCATTATTTTACTAAAACTTAATATTAGGCTAACATTTTTAAACATATACATATAATACATATTAAAGAAGTTTTTACCTTGATAGGTAATATTTTTTTCACCTTTTATAACGCATATAGGATCTATTTTTGTACCAAAATATATGTTTCTACTTCAAACGTACTGTTCTTAAGAATACTTCTATTTAAATTTAAAAAAAAACATTTTAATTCTTCATAACATTTTCAAGGCATCGACTGTGGCATGATTTTTAAATTATTTTTAGTTAATTAATTATTTCAATGTAAAAAACCGCAATTTTTAACTTTTTTAAACTGAAATAATTAATTAACAAAAAATAATTTTTAAATTGTGCCACAACTTGAAAATGTTATGAGGAATTCAAATGTTTTTTTTTTAACTAAAATCGGTTTCAAGTTGAATGAGGCCCTTTTAAATTAATAAATATTTCCAACCACTATTATCTTCAATAAAATGTCCAACTATTAATTATAACTTATAGTAAAAGACAAGTAATCTTTAATTATATTAAACTTTAAAAATAGTACCTATTTTATAGAATAACTTTAACGTTTAACTCAACAAAATACTTTCTGTAAGAACAATATTATTAAATGTATTAACTAACCACATTTTTTTTATAATATGTTATGCTAATTGACTAGTAGAATAATAATTGTATGTCATAAAAAATAATAAAGGGTTACGTTATAGCTTACACTAATAATTGGTTTTTTAAAAATCATATTGTTTAAAAATATTAATAAAATCACTTTCAACTAAACGCCTCAATGATTATCTGTAAATGGTAGAAGTATAAATTATGTACCTTAAATAACAGTATATCTTTTTTTTTTAAATTGCAGTAATAAAATAGCAAAGTAAAATTAAGCACAAGAAAAAATGTGTAACAGCAATCGCCAAATCTGGAATTGTAAATAGTATAAACATAAGCATATAGTAAATAATTAAAATCTATCGCAGGTTTAAACTTTGTATTAGTGCAGCCAAAATGCTTAATTTTTATGGAGTTGGGAGAAAAAGGTAATTTATGATTTTAAAATACATAAGTGTATAAAAATATTATAATAAAATATATAATAACATATATAAATCTTTTAAACATTTTTTTTTTTGAAAACTTTACTCATTTAAGAAAAAAAATAGTCTAACAATTTAAATATCTATTAAATAATCTGACCATATTGAGATATCCATATTGTATACAAAATAGTTCAACGGACATATTTAACGTTGTAACCTATTACTCTTAAGTTCCCTTAAGGTATTTGGCCCCTCGTATTATACTCACGTCACGCTAAAAGAGAAAATACATAATATTTATAGGTAGGGAACCATTGTTGGCCCGACGGGACAGCTGCTACTACAATATCAGGGTTGGGTACCTAGATTTGTAATACACTTACAACCTAACAAGTGGTTGTACTCATAATAATATTATATTATGTAGGTAGGCACAATATAATCAATATAACCAATAAAGATTAATGTATCGACAGTAAAACGCACACCTGTTGAAACCTTTTTGAAATGTTTAAGATGTTAGCATACTGTGTGCGGTGGGTAAATCAGAATTTTGAAAACTATATAATATCTTTATTTGGTAAAACATCATTATACCTATTATCTCTGGTGGACGTAGTTTTAAAACTTACCGAAGGTACAGCTTAAAATAATTTGTTACCTATTGAGTTGAAATATGTACAAACAATTATCATTATTATACCTAATCAGGTAATATACACGAACAACAGGTAGTGACGACAGTAATTACTGATTAAAAATACGGTCAGGTAACTTAATAATAATAATGTTTAACATATCTAAAACAATAATTACATACTATTATATTAAACTGTGTTGGCATACGTAGGTATATCGGTCACAGAACAACATAGATTATCGGCTACCTATTCAGAGGTAATTCCATTCTGTGAACACTATACCTACATCACAATACAATATAGAGTTTGTAATTTTGGCACGATAAATGATAATATCTGAAAAATAATTTAGTATTTAATAGATAATTTTAATACATTTATCAAACCAAACTAAATTACTAAATTAGACGTAACAACACAAATAGGTATCTGGCTTAATTTCCACATTATTTCCTTACATAATGTAAATTGTTTACTTATTTATCGTTTTCATCAACACTCGACTTGACGTGTCTCGTGGCCGAAACGTAAAAATAAATATACACAGAACCATGTATTTCAAAACATTTGCATTTTTGTGCATATGGAATTTGTGTCTCAATAACTGCCATTCAAAAATCATTTACAATCCTGCGGCGATTATGATAAAGCAGTTGTTCGAGATACCGAAAAAAGTCGAAAATGATTTGGCGACAACAAAAAAAAAGCAAATCAATTCAGATCCGGCAAAAAGGTAAATATAAAAATGTTTAAAATCTAAATAATTAAGATTAACTAAGTGCTGTACCGATAGAAACACGCTACAGCTGGAGAAATTGCAAAGACATTTAAACGATGCTAAGGAACTACTTACTGGTGAGATGCCAATCGCCAGCCGGACCCGTTTGGTAACGACTAAAAATTCTATAACAGCCACAAAATTACCATTCCTCGACAAGACAACTCAAAGATGTGTAAACAAGTGAAAAAACAATTTTGCCCAAAGTAAATAATATTATAATGTTGATCCTTTGTTAACCTTTTCAACTGTATTCAATATTCGTACTATGGAAGTTACCCCTGTAGCATATACTATAACTCATAAACCTATGATCATGTAATGTATACTTAGTACCTATTTAATATATCAATGTAATAATACATCAACTGTTGTTTTTTTTTAATCGACTGGAATTGAGATGGTGCACAAAATCATACACAATACGTTTATTTATTGCATTAATCGAGTATTTTTATATAAGTGGACAATTGCTTGGTTACTTGTATTGTAAGCTGAAATACGATCCTTACTTATAAAAATAATATCCAGGTCAATAATTAAAAGTAGAGACCAATCTGACTAAGTATTTAAGATACACTAAGTTTTGGTACATCAGTGCAAATACACAGAATCTGCAGAATCCAGAGACTTTCAGACAAACTTCGGCAAGGTAAGTACTAAGTGGAAAAACATAATAAAATTCACATAATAGGAAGTTATACTTAGAGGTAAACCCCAAAATACGAAACATAATAATTTCACACCCCGACACGATCCATCATCATCCTCAAAGCATACTCTATTCAATACCGATTATGTTACTTATTTAAAATGCTTTTTTGTGTTAGATATCTCATGTTTTAATAATTGCAATACTGTTATCGTTTTTAACTCCCTGAGTGTAGGTAATTGAATATCAACAATTCTCTAGAAGGAAGTTTCGTTGTTCTACAAATCTCCAAAAAAAACATAGTTATGGTGCCAACAAATTGGTTACTTTTAAATACTAGAGTAGTAAACGATTCGTTAGTTTCCACTTGTATCTACTTTATTTGCTTAATCGCAGTTCCTTTGAATCGTCAATTTATGTCAAAGGAAACTCGAAAATGTTTATAAATTAAATTTAATTAAACGTTTTTATTTGTTTTAATGTATCTGAACAATTCACATACTTGGATTTCAAGTCCTCTAAACATATCTAAAATATCCGTAACATTGTTTTTATATAGTACTATTTTTTATTGTTTGTTTTTACAAAAAAAAAAAGAAGAATAATGCAATAATACTTAGTTGTAAATTTGAAAAATTTATAAATTGGTTTTAAAAAAAAAATTCGTAAATCATTTTTTTTATTATAGTAGAATTACATTCTATACAATCTTGTTACTTAACAAGAACAGTTCATTATTATTATACTATAATGTAGTAATTAAATATTTTGAAATTGAGTGGAACATGACCATTTTTTAAAATATTTTTTATAGAATTGGACACTCAAAATAAATGTTTTCATTGTAGTTCAAAAATGGGATGAGTACAAAACGTATTTTTTTATTGATATTTTATAATGGTTTAGCAATAAAACAATAAAAACGAACCCAGTTCAGTATTCGGTCGTACTTTGAAGTTAGAAGTTGCTTTTTTGAAATTTAAAAATGTTAAGAAAAATACTAATTTTACTTACTCATTTTTTAAGTATAATTAAAACATTTTTTTCGTGTGTCCAATGCCATAAAATAAGTTTTATCAAAAACGTCCATCCTTATGTTTACTGAATTTCAGATTTAATTTGGATTTTGGATGGCGGCAACGTTAAAAAACCAGTACAGTGGGGTCGGTGCATAGTGGGGACGGAACATAGTTGGGTCGGGGCATATTGGGGATGGGGAGGTCACAGGTTTACAGGAATTTTTAAATCTGAAAGTGATAAAATCACTTTCGAAAAAACGCTTCGATGCAAATCGGTAGTTAGTATTTTCAAGCCAGTACAGTCCAAACCAAGCACAGTATAAACCAGCAAAGTTAGAAAGTTTTAAATGAAGGTTCTGTATTTACAAATGAGCATCAAAGCGTTAATTTGAAAGTGATTTTATCCGAGAGGACTAGTACAGTAGAGTATTGGCATAATGTAATCAAAGCAATGAGGAAACGGAGAGGTCACAGGTCTACAAGAATTATTATAAATAAAAGTGACAAAATTGAATAAAATCGCTTTCAAATTAACGCTTTGATGCTCATTTGTAAATACAGAACCTTCATTTAAAACTTTCTAACTTTGCTGGTTTATACTGTGCTTGGTTTGGACTGTACTGGCTTGAAAATACTAACTACCGATTTGCATCGAAGCGTTTTTTCGAAAGTGATTTTATCACTTTCAGATTTAAAAATTCCTGTAAACCTGTGACCTCCCCATCCCCAATATGCCCCGACCCAACTATGTTCCGTCCCCACTATGCACCGACCCCACTGTACTGGTTTTTTTTTTTTTGCAAAAACTTAGTGGACCAAATAACACATATACAATGTCTTGTTATATTTTGTTGGAATGGTCGACGATTCATGTTCCAATCGTTTGTAGACCATAGTTTAAATTATAATCGCTTATTCTCAATAAAATTAATATTTATGTATTATATACTTCCATTAAAGCAATCTCACACAAACTATTTATACTTCATAGATTATATTATTTCAAAGCTATATTATACTTCTATTTTACTAGATTGACAATGTACAAAATAAAATGCAACTAAAAAAACCTTTTCATAGATACTTAAAATGTAAAGGGTGGGATAGTGAAACGAGTTTTACCATTTAAATAAATTAGAAAATCGCCGTTTTACTGCCTCATCCTGTATATTAATTTCTTGTTATTTTCTAAAAAAAAATCGATTTTCTTACATTTAAATTAAAATAAATCGTATACTGGTACTGTGATGGAGAAAACAATAAATTTTACCTACATATATTACTTATTAGTTAAATATTACTAACGTGTATAGCCACTAGCGGTCGGCTGTTGCCTGTTATTTAACAATAACCTTTTATGGAGATTTTAAAAATTTTGTTTTTTTAATAATAGCATAGGAGCAGTATCATGATGTTCACGAGATTTGATCTAGTCCTAAAATAAAATATTATCATTTATGACTTAATTATTATTAAAATTTATCCTAATAGTAATAGTACATAGTAATAAAATAATGAAATATTTTATACAAAATTAGAGCTACAAGTTGGTAAACTAAAAAATTAAAATTAGCACGAATCAGATTATCTAATATTAGACAATTCAAACAATCAAGCGTGAATCTCTTTAAATGAATAACAGTATAACAATATACAAAACATTAGTTTTCCTTTAAAAAAATTGTGTAATAAAAAATACATGTTGAGGCGGTATACTGCATAAAAACCAACACTTAATCTGAATCCAAAAAACAACAGTCCTCTTCATAATTTGCAGGTAGTTGGACCTTATATACTCATAGTTGACCTTCGGTACGGTAATATAACGCAGGCTATAAAATAACGAGATATCGACAGTGGTTTTGTCGTATCGTTTTATTCCCAATAAATCGAGTGTCTACTATAATCAGTTACATGATTTAGTCGCCTGTAATATCATGTAATAAATACTATGTTATGATACCGATCATTGGGCCCTAACCTAATCTAACACGGATAGACGTTACCAACTGATAGTTTTTAGTGTCAGTTCGTTTCTCACATCTGGTACACCGTGTTTTTAGTTGGGTATAGTTAAAACTTGATACAACTGACGGTTTTTAGTTAAAAAAAAAAAAAAAAAAAAATGAACTAATAAAAAATAATTATTTCTTATACATTTCAACTCGATCCGACTCTTTTTCTCGAAGCTATAGCCAGTAAAAGTTCTAACTTAAAAACTCGTACGGTTTTTTTTTTGTTTTTTCAACTTTCGCCTGTGAAGAGTTAAACTTTTTCAACTTTTACCCCCCCCCCCCCCCAAAGTACCAACTAGATGAAAATTGCGATTTATAGAGTTGCTATTCGAAAGAATTGGTCCAGTATTAAAGAAGTTACAGTGTATACAGATAAAAAAAAAACACACATCAGAGTAAAACCAATACCTTCTCGCTTTGCATCGAAGCTAAAATTGGTCAAACGGTTTACAAAAATTCATTCTCATTTTAGGCCAAACTGAACTAAAAAATTGTTGTTAAACTATTATCGACTTTTGATTCCTAAACAATAGAAATCTTGTGTTTGTTTTTGTATTTATACACATAAATTTAAAAAAAAACATATTTTGAAACTAGAAATGGGTAACCAACAATTATAAATAAATGACAATGAAAAAAGCTACTTTACAATAACAATATGGTTTAAGATGGTTTTATGGCGTCCAACCGAGGACAGTGGTCGTTTGCAATATCAAAATCGTAAACGTGACCGCAGTTTTCGACTGCACATCTTTTGAAATACTCCAAAACCTTTTGGATTTGAGAATCCGGCACGATAGCGCCTATTCCTGGCACGTGAAATCCACTATGGCCAACGCCGGATTCGAATTGCTCAAGACCTGTATCATCGGTCAACTGCTGCTGTCTTCCCGAATCGATCGCAGAGTCCAAAGACTGGAAATTATAAATGTTATTGCAGTTGAGTTTGGCTCGAGGCGGATATGGAGCGAATGCCGATATTGTATCCAGTGATTTTGCAGTTTTCAACGTTTTACAAACTTCGGTATCCCATTGTTGAAGTTTACCACCATGGTCAGAATTGGTGACCGCTAAAGCAAAAAAAAAACTACTTATTAAATTACTGTCTTCGATTAGTAAGTTTAGAGCCGGATTAAAAGGGCTATAGGAGGATGTTACAGAGTTGTTCTGATAGTAGACAAAACGAATAGTATTTGAGACGGTTTTGGCAATGTTTCAAAAAAAAAATAGCAGGAGGGAAGGCCGAAGAGACCAAAATGGGTAAAATAAATTACATTTGAATGTGTAATTTTTTTTTATAACACTTATGCCGACCTGTTGGACTATCGACAGTTTCGGCTGGTGGAAGTGGCGAACAATCCAGTCTTGCTAGGTATTCGTATAATCGACAAGCTATGTCCACAGGCAAAAAATATCCATCAGCAGCCAAACACTTACAAAACGCTTCACAGCATACCATCATGGTATCTTTCAAACACTGAAAAGAAGCTTTCATTATTCGCCGGGATTTACTTAATTTGTAATTGCTATAAAAATAATTGTTTATGATACATAATATTATAATAAATAAAATAAAATATCATGCATAGTAGATAGATAAAGTAACAGCGAGTGAGAACAAGATAAAAAACGTACAAGGTAGATTATAGGGATGCTGGCAAAAGGTCAACCGGTCGCCTGTACCCAGTGGACTATGGTCAATAATAGGGATAGGCATATTTATATTGCGTGAGAGTCACTTGAGTAGCCGTGCATCTGCCACAGAATGTATGGGAGAGAATAAATGTAGCACATTATGGAGTGCAGTAAAAGTAGACGACGAGAATGCAACTACAGAAAACTTATTACAGATTTAAGAGTACAAGTGATATTAGTGTAGAAATAGTGGGAGAAAATTTTGAGGAGATTAGTTAGAAAATAATGAAGATGGTCAAGGATCCAATAGGGTCAGGAGGAGGCATGGCCGTATCCAGCACTCATTTTTTTTGGGGGGGGGGGGTAAGATAAAACTAGTAATTAATATTTAGGATTTTAATTAAATAGAACCATATCAGTTTTTTAGGTATATATATATATATATATATATACCGCGTAGTCTATAAATGTCAGATGTATGAATGTATCTTTACGTTTTTTAGGTGCAGTTTTATTCGTTGGAATCTCTACAATGGTATATTTGGATTTTTGTTTTGACTATTTTAGCAGGCTGAAATAGCAGATCTTTTCAGTAAACGATAACGGTGTCCTGTCGTTGTCGCCGACCTTGATAATGACTATTATATATAATATTTCGTTATTCTGGGTACAAATCCAAAAATGTAATACAGTTTGAGTACACTATAAATTCTATTTGTATGTATATATATATATATATATCAATATATATACATATAATATTTTTATTATCGACAAGACTCGTGCTTTTATTCATATACAGGATTAAATCGATTCTATATATGAATGTAAACATTATTACCCAGTCATTATTGACGTCTTCCAATATGGTACACCAACGAAATTCGAAAAAAGCTAAAATTCATTGACGTGTCCATAAGCCTAAGCAGACAATAACGGTAATATCACGTATTTATTATTATTTAATTATATTTTAGGCTTTAAAGTTAAAAGAAAACTTACATCAAAATATTTTTCTTTTTTTTATATAATTTTCAGGAATACATACTTTAAAAAAAAATGGGAAAAAAGATATAAAGGAAAGTTAATACAAATATTTTTCGATGAAATTTCGGGGGGGGGGGGGGTTGAACCCGGAACCCCCCCCTGAATACGATCATGTCAGGAGGGTCCATAATTTGTTTTTCTTAAATCATTTTGAATAGTTCAAATTAAATCATTATATATACCAATATATCATGCGTTTATGGATCATTAATACAATAGGGTATCAACAAACAATCTGTATATTAAACTCATAAGTCATAACATAATCAGTAATTTCAATAAGGCCTGAAATGTAAGTATCAAAAGTATTATAAAACAGCAATTTATTTATAAATATGTTTTGTTAGAAATAGTTTAAAACAATAAAATGTTACTATACTTTAAAAATATGTTTTTTTAATTTAATATAAAAATGGTCTATAGCCATACTTATATCTAATTATGGCATAATTAAATATACATGTTATTTTGAAGTAAGTGATATTGTTTTTCTTTAATATCAGGTACTCCGGTCTTTTTTTATAAATGTAAGTATACTAGTAATTATTTGTTTAGTTTATGACTTTGGTACGTATATATTTATATTTAGTTTGAATTCGAACAACATAAATATAGCTAAAATACATATTTTCTCATCTTGAAACACTACACAGTAATGTAATGAGCTCGGTGCTTGCCGAAATATTATATTATGCGTTTTTTTTTATGAAAGGTTATACTATTTTTGGAACGAATCCAATAAAATAACCACCATTCCAGACCTTGGCACCATCATATTATCATATATTTTATAGCATCATAATGTGAAATAACGACCAATAAAATAATATCTCACAACTTTACCTTTGACCAATGTCCAATTGCAATACCAAGGAATTTGATCATGTCGACGTTATTTCCGTGGAATTGTCCAATTTTATAAATTTGATCTAGCAAACTATACTCCAAGTATAAATCCGACCATACTTCTTCGATTCTTTCCTTCGTGCCCAAAGTTGTACCTAACTGAAAAAAAACAATCATTATCAGTTAATATTCATACATATTTTTTTACCCGGTACCACTGAGCTATTACAATGTACATACTTGGTAATAATAAAGGTAAATTCAAAAATATAAGTGCTTAACATTTATATTTTACTATTTCAAAAGTTTGAAATAACTGTTGTCCGTTTGTATAAAGAAGAGATACTTTATACCTATCTACAACAATAAATTAATATTTTCCAAACATATCCAACGATATCGCATAAATGTATTCTTGAAAATTAGTTATTCAACTGTAACGGTATAGGTAATAATTGTTCGGATATTAACAAAGTTTTAATTAATTTTGTTGTATAATTCCATTGTTCCACCGGTTGAGCGATAAATATAATGTAAAATAACCTACTGCTTTACAATTGTTTTTTCCACGTTAAACAATTACGTAGGTACTCATTAGTATTTTTTTTTTTGTAATTATTACACTGTTAAAATGCTTACTATAAAATATTGGTTTGTAACTGGGAACCCTGCTTGGATTGTATATTTTAAATTATTACTATTGCTATCACATTCAGTTTTCAGACCGAGCCATTGCAAATATCAAGCTACTTTCGCCTCACCCCGTTTCTCCGAACTTGAGTAACTCAAAATGGGTTTATGCTAATGAAAATCTTAGTGTATTATAAATTATGTTTGAACTCACTTGAAATGCTAATATCCTAATCAATGTTCGGTCATGAATGGAAAAACTATGACTGTAATTTTTTGGGTCGACCATTGGTAACTGCTCGTCTGGCGTTTTGAAATACTCTGCTGACCACTTCAAAATGTCTTCCGGTTGTGTGCGTATCGCTGCCTTGACATAATCTTTTAATACTTCTGGTAAAGAATCGGGTACCACGACCGAAGTCATTTTCAATGTAGGCGACTTTTACAAACTAGTAAAAACACAATATTTCACGTTTAGTTTTAACCTTATTTGTGTTGTTTTGGTTTCGTTTCTATGGTAAGTTAGTGCTGGCAAAGCAAATCGATATCCGGCGGAATGTGAAAAACATTTACTTCAACCTGGCACATGAGTCGTCAATGTTGGGTGTAACAAAATGTTGACAGATTTGACGGTTCGTTAAGATTAAACAAAAATTGTTAGGTTTTTTTAAACCTAACTAGACTTTTTAGTCTATCTGTCTTGGGGTTCATTTTGTAATAATTTGTTGCTGTTGGTTTCGTGATACTCGATGACTTAAAACTCTCGTAATACAAGTTAAACCATAGAATAGTGTATTTAATTTTGCTTCCTTAAAAAAGGAAGCTACGGTTCTAGGGATTTTTTGTTCAACATCGGGAAGGGAGTAAAACTATAATAATATGTAGTTTAATAGAAAATAGAACAACTTAACATTTGATTCGAATTTTTCCTTACATTTTTACAAGTATGTTTGATCGGTTGTCTAGATGAACTGTCTAAAATTTGGCGGTGATTGACCAGTTGAGATTTTTAGCAAATTATTTTTAATTTAAAAAGTTAAAGTATTATATATGCGGTACCATTAGTATTTTAAAAGACAATAGAGCTTTAAAAAAATATAACACATATGAATATTGTCTAATATTGTATAACAATATAAGCAAAACTCAAAAATATCTTAAAAAAGAAAAATTAAAAACTTAAGAAAAAATTAGTATTTTATCCTTAATGAATCACCGTGTATATTATATATGAAGGGCACAAAAAAAAACAAGAAAGTCACTTTAATCTAAGAAAAACATGTTAAAATAATGTTTTAAAATGTTCAATTTTGTTTTTAATTATGTTCAAAAATAAAGAACAGATGCGTTTCGTAAAAAAACGAGTATTATAACAACAAAATGGCCATTTTTAAATATATATACATAAATGGAGCAGTATAACGAGTTCACTATGACAATAAACAATCCGTTTATCCTTATTATTTTATAATACTTTCATAGTTGTCTGTTGCACTGCGACGTTACATTAGAATCGCGTGACTTACCGCTAGACTTTTTTTCTTTAAGCACGTGCGACCAGGGGTTTACAATTTTGGAACTTCTTATGACTGTATTGATATAAAAAAAATATAAATATAAACAATGTGAATACGTTTTACGCTATGATTAAATTGGAATTTCGTCTTGCACATGATGAATTTGTAAAAGGATGAAAAACGTGGTTAAAGGCTTCTTTTATCGTTTTTCGAGCAACGTGCGTCAACTTAAACAAAGACCGTGCCTGGGAAAACTTGTTTGGAAATGTTAGGAATCCTTTGTACGATCATGCGACATTTACGACACGGTATAGCGATAAATTACTGTAAAAATATCGTTTTAAGCTTGTCGGCCGAGCTTGAATGCTTCCTTACTTACATTTACCTATCTGCCAAACATGCTCGAGTGCACAACAAACGAGTGCACGCTAAAGGTTTCGTTAGTGTCGCAATAAAAATTCCGAAAATCAAAATATCATTTAATCTACTCATTTCTAAGATGTGATCACATATTTTGGTCCTTTGACTTTGAAATTATCGATTAAAGGTAATTTTTATATTTTCCTATTTGTATGTACGCTGTAGTCTACAACGGCGTATAGACTATTTACATAATTTATTTTTAAAATGATAATTCCATTTCATCTGTACAATATTCGTTTTCTATTTGTCTTGTAAATATATCGACTTATTAATTATTATTTTCATTTATTTTGAATATACAACAATTTTGTTTTTGTAAGTTTATAATTTGGTATTTTAGATCATACTTGTTCAATTTGTCATAGGACAATATGGTTTATGATTTCATAATATTTTTTTATACTATCGTAGAACCGTTTTGTTTGGCTTTTAGATGTCAGAAGGGAATGAAATTCCACAAGATCCTAGACCAGAATTTTTCGGGAACTACATAATAAAAGCTTTGAAAGTAAAAGCAGAAAAATGGTTCAGACTGATGATGACGGAAGATCAAGGATCTAAGGTTTACAATTTTTTGGACAATCCAGAATGCATTGTTTTGGTGATATTCCAGGTAATAGTATGGACTATATTATTGTGCGATACTTGATTGCAAGGCTTCATTAACTTTTGTTGACTTACGCAGAACTTGGCCGCGCAATTATTTGCAACGGACAACTTTCCAATTCCACTGAAAACCAAAGCTATATACTTTGTGAAAACCGGCAAGGTTGTAATACCAAAAGAAAATCCGTGTTCGGTGCTTATAATCGGAGACATGGCTTGCAAACCCATTGAGCAATTAGCTACCGTTGTAGACGACGTGAGTATATATTATATACACTATACTTTGTCTCAAAAAGCGGTAGAAAACTAGAGATGTTTTTTTTATTATAAGAAAAACATATATTTACAATCTGTACAATATATTGTACATTTAGTAAATGCGATAATATGAGTAACATGACAGAAAGATTATTGTTGTTTATTGGAAGACAATCATCATTCATCAGTATCAATTGACTAGAAGACACATACATTTTTTTTTTTCATTTGGAAAATTGTAAAAGGTCTCTAGGTCATTTGCTTTTGAGTCTTCTGGGTGCATAAATGTCTTGAGAGATAAGTTAAGTGATACAAAATTTAGTTATAATTCGCCACTTGAGTGTTTTTCGAAATTAATGCATAGTCAATAAAAATATTACATTTGGCCACTATTGTGAAGTATAATTTTGAGTACACTTTTTTTTGGGTTTTTTAAGTATCGAAATAATCCTTAGAAATCGGACCTTTAATTTTTTTTTTTTTTTGTTATGGGTGAGCAATTGTGAAATTATGTCTAGTGCAATCTTGTGCAATAATCGAATAAATAGATATGTGCTTAATATATTTTTTTACATACTTTTTAGTGTTATTCATTTAATAACCCGGTTATTTGGATAATATAAATTTTAATATTTATTCTCGTTTAAATTATTTATATATTACCTAATACATTTTCTCTTATTTTCCGCAATTAATTGTTTTTATTGTTTATTATTTTATTGTGACTTTTAAGAACACACACACTAGCAAAAATGCAAAATAAACAGTAAATGTCTAAAAAATGTAATAAAATAAAAAATGCAAAATTTAATTTTGAATTCAGAATCGGTATCAAAATGTGTTTTTCAGTTTTTTTTTCACGTACAAGGAATAGTATAATTTTTTATCTCAGTTACGTGCAAGTGATAATTTTAAACCTATTATAATTTAAAATGTGTGAGTTAAAAAAAATCATACATAACGAAAGGTATGATTTCTAATATAAATTTGTATAAAATATTTTTTTGTTTTGTATTTTTAACTGTCAACATACTCATTATGTTAATAAAGTACACACAAATAAATATTTGGCAGTATGGTACACTAAATATGAGGTCATTTTGGTATTCAGCGAGACAAAATGCAAAATAATGTTTGTATTTTTGTTGTCGTTGCCAGCAAGTTGTAGTTTGAGCGGAGTAATTTTTAGATTTTTCTCGGTAGCAGCTAAAACCGGATGATAATAATTGAAATAAATAATATTTGTTTTGACCGTTTTGAATCGTTCTAGCTTTGGCCAAAACAACAAACAAGCTAGTATATGGCGACGTCCGCCGAATACACAACAAAGAGCACTAACGTCGTACATAGTGTCGGCATTGTTTTAATCATTTTTATATTAAGACTTAAGATTATATTTATATTAAAAAAAAACAATACAATTATTCTGATTCGGCCTTCACAAGCTTGACCGTGGAAATTTTTAGACGATAATAATATCAACGACCGTCGACACTGTACGACTGGATTACAATTAACTAAAAGCTTTCATGTCGCATCACTTATCAGCTATAAATAGAGATTAGGTGAATGGGAATTATGTATGCGGTCACACGTAGACACGAAGTATCTAATAATATGATTTATACAATAAAAATAATAGCTAGTAGGTACCTACTACTATTATGGGACATTGCTGTCAGAACGCAGCTGGTAGTTTTCTTTTTTTTTTTTAGTTTTTCTTCGAAAATAACGGGAAAGTGTTTTGAAACGGTGTAAATACATCGACGTTTATTTTTATTCGTGGAAAACTCACTGACATCGGGAAGGTAGTTAAAATGATCATAATGACATGGCGTTCTCAACGTGAAAACTGTAATAATACAGGGTGTTCAGAATTGCATGTAACGCCTGATTTTTTAATGATATACTAAATTTTTTTTTAAAAATTGCATGTGAAACATATTAAATGGTTTTTAAAAAAATAATAGCTTTAAGTTATTGTATTTTTTTTCAGTCAGAAGATAGATTTAGAAGGGGTACCTTTTGAAACTTGAATGGTTGACATTTAATACATTTTTTAAATTAAAATTAATGTGCTGAAAATGTTGACTGGTCGAGTTATGAATCGTTTATTTTTAAGTTATTAGAATTTAAAATATAGGATGGGAGGTGTGATGCTCACAGGTAAAACCACACAGGTACTACACACCACACTTCTTAAATAATATTCTCTAATAACTTTAAATGTACCTACTCATAATTGGTTATCGACCAATCAACATTTTCAGCAAATAATTTATAATTTAAAAAACGATTTAATTTATACATTAATATTTAAATTTCAAAATTTATCCCATCCCTTTAAATCTGGCTTCTGACTGAAAACAAATACAAAAACTTTTAATTATTATTATTTGATAATAATTTTAAATGTTTTGGTAACGCCTCAGTAAGATAAGTTAAGTTAGTTAGTTGTCAGGTAAACTAATAGTGAACATACGTTTTATAAGAGAGTTTGTATTTTGAGTTAAGGTTCAAGTGAAATCTAGGGTAGTTTATTATGGCAAGTTCGTTAACAGCATTTATTTGTAATTGTTTATGTAAGTTATTGTTGGTTGAATACCAAGGAGCACTAGCTGTTAACATCCGGAGCGAGATGATGTTTTGGAACGCCTGTATTGGTTGGATATTTGATGGCTTTGCTGAACCTCATGCAGTCATGCCAAAAGACTATACTGTTCTTATAATTGACTTGTAATTAAGCATTTTAGTTTTGAGTGGCAGGTTGGACTTGAGTAGCTGGCGGAAAAGATAAGTCTAGTGTTAGCTTTTTTCCTTTTTCCTTGAGGTGGTTCCAAAAGTAAAGCGTTTACCTAAAATGATACCCAGGTATTTTGTTTTATTTCGAGTAGAGATTATTGTATTGTTGAATTTAATAGCTGGAAATATTTTAGGACGGAGAGCAAAAGTAACATGGCTTGACTTGTTTTCATTAATTTTGATCTTCCAATTTCTGAATTATATATTATTCGAATTTAGATAGGTCTATAAGACTATGCATTTAAAATTAATTACAGTTTCGTCACGTCAATAATAACACATATGAATACGATAGCTGAGTAGAGTACTAGAATTTTGTTATTATTTAATTTAGGTTCTATGCTTATAAAATAATAATTGTCGTTAATTATAATTTTTAAATATATTATCAGATTGACTTCGGCTGTAATATAATCGTACTTATGTATTTTCGTGCGTTAATATGATTAGTGATTACTTATTAATTATTATATTTTAAAGAAGGACACAAATACTTTTAATTTTGTTTTTTAAATAAACTATAATAAATATTATTATTTGTCGATCGACGTCTGTTAATCGCTGAGTGCCTATCTACTGTTTATCCAATGGTAATATAATAATATGATATTATATTCTTATTTACAATCAGTTCAAACTTTAATAATTTTCGTTATTTGTTAGCATAGAAAAACAGTCTATAGTTTATGTTTTAGATGTTGATTAAAAATCCACTAACCGTAAACAACGCACTATCTGAACTCGAAATAATTATTATGATTATAGTATTGAATCAATATTTAATATTTGACCTGGATGCAATTAGTTCTATCAAAAGAAAAGCATTATTTTTGTTGGCGGAGAAAAAATAGTGTGTGTTAACAAAATAATTACATAATCTCGATTCTAGAATATTCGGGAATAAACATTTGTCTGTTATAATATATGCTAGCTTTCTACACAGGCTTGGCATAACGAGATAATATTTTGTTTGTCGACTAGGTATTATTATAGTTTCTTTTTATCCATAAAAACCAGATGACCTCGATTGATACATTTGGATTAGTATTATTACAATATCGTGTATATTTTTATACTATTGGAATCAATTTGATAAAACACAGCGAAGAATCTATTGCTATAAACAGAATATCGTCATTTGTCCACATTCATCATTATTCAATTGGTTATTTATACAGGTTTGTAACAACAATTGGTCAGCAATTTTAGATCCCACTGGGATTTAATATACATCACGACCAAATTTGTTGAAATTGATTTTTGACGACATTAGACCTGTTTTGAGATTATTACATTATTGTATTTACTTTTTGGGATTTTGATGTCAGTTTATATTTTCTTGGGTAACTGATGTTGAAATCAGCACATACATAGGGAAATGAGGTAATTTTTGTAATTCTATACAAATGTGAAAGCAACATCGAAATTTTTAACTTCGTCGCGATGTTTTTATTGTCGTTTCTCAGTTTGAGCATAGGTTGTAAGTATTGAAATTTTAACCAACCTATGTTTTAATACTTTCCATATTATGGGGAAGCTTAACGATACTCGTTCAAATGTATAGTAAGGGAACGCCCTACACTAGTCCTATCTCTTTGTTGGTGATTTTTAATTTTAGAAATTATTCTCGGTCGCCACTATTTTCACTAATACATCTTATTCGGTCATTCATTCAACCATTTAGGCCTAGTTCAACAGTAAAAATTGGAATTGTTTTCTTTTGTCGTTATTATATTTTTTACCACCTTGATCGGTTTACTAAAACGTGTCATTTTCTCGAATATTTCAACACAATATGGTTTTATCATGGTAATTTATAAGTGCGCCGTGAAAGCGAGAAAAAAAAATTTGCTAAATAAAACCCGTTACGAATGATAGACGTACGACCAAGGCCATTTAGCATGTTTTTGTTCTTCGTTGTCAATAACCATTCTGATAATGCGTTTTTAAATATATATATATATATATATATATATATATATACATGTACACGAAGTAGGTTTATTGAATTTTAAATTTTTCTTTAGAATAGGTATACTTACATATTATATATATTTTCAGGTTTTATGTGTACAGACTACAGTCTATAGATAATCTAATAATGAATCATATTTTATATTATAAATATTATATATATGCATAATAATTGTACAGGGTGATCAACTTATCGTGAACCACTCAATAGCTCACTGAGTTTAATTAATAATTACATTTTTTTTTACAAAATGTTTTTTTTTACAATGTGATCTCAATTTCTCATAATTTTTTTGTTTTTACCTCCCTCCCAACTTTTGAAACTTAAACGGTAACACATACATTTTATTAACTTTTTAAATTGACGTACTTAAAATGTTGACTGGTCGATAGCCAGTTTTGGATAACTATTTTTAAAGTTATAAGATTTTAAAAGTTAAGACGGGAGGAAAAGTGCGGCTGGGAAATGCGCGCAGATAAAAATAATACTACACTCCATCTCTCCTCCTGCCCTGAACTTGAAATATATGCGTTACCATTTAAGTTTCAAAAGTTGCTATCAAAAAAACTAAGTTGAGAGAGCGGTAAAAACTAAAAAAATTGAGATCACATTGCATGAAAACACTATGTAAAGAAAAAATTTAATTTCTTATTAAACTCAGTGAGATATTGAGTGGTTTACCTTGTACACTGACAAAATTCTATCAATGGACGGTTTATTTAGTCGAGACTCCTTCCCACACAGCTTGCACTTCAGTAAAAAAAAAAAATATTTATACAGATTGTTATAAATTAATAAATATACATAGTATAATAAACTAAAAGAAAAGCATATCGATGATTTTGATAAAAAAAAAAACACACGAGTACTCTTTGTTACCTTCGCCTACCTACGTGATAGTAATAGACAACAACTAGATGTATTGTACTTAAATATTTAACTGGTATATATATTTCATACTATATGGCTACTGTTTTTTTTTATCTCGCGATAACAAAAAGCACTGTACATATTATAATAACTCAATTCAAGCTATAGGTATTGAAGTCAATATTGAGTGTCCTTTTTGTCACCCACCTGTGAACGTACACGTTGCTGGCGAACACCTGTGAAATGTATAGGTAGTACATACCTACATTTACATTAATACGGTTGGCCTTTTTCAGATATTTGTACCCTTGTTGGCCAATCCAGAAAACCATAGAAATTGGGCGACCGTTGTGTCTTTGGACGTCAAAGAGCACGTGCATAGCTTGAAGAGTACTGTTTATCAGGTCAAAGGTCAAATCAACGGCCAAACGATATTACCCATGCCGGTCGGAGTGGAACGATTGGAAAGCATAGAAAAAACGGTTAAGGATAGGTATCCGATCGAAAATGCACAGAACATTTACCTACTTAAATTGTATTAATATTGCATAATATATTTTATTTTGTATGTACCCACTATGTGCATACAACATTGCTTCTCACAGGAAATTCACCGAGAATATTTAGCAAAATTGAGATTTTTTTTTTCACACACAAAACAAGTTTTATCTATAAAATTTCATAAATGTTTTTACTCTTCACCTATATTCTTCGTGAAAAATTATTTAGCTATTATAATTTTTTTTTTATAGCGACGGCAAGGTTGTTGATCTACATTTTAAGTCTGCCGTTGAAGGAGTCATTATAAAATGGGCTACACAGATAACAGATGTTCTAAGCGCTGATTCGGCGGTGGCTTGCAAAAATAACCAAAACCCGACTCCTTGGACAGGTATTATATTATACAAAAGTGTAAATTGCAGGTATTTTATGGATCGGGTTTATTATCGTAGTAGCTCAAATTGGGTAGCAGAAACTGAAAGGGGTTTTTACTGTAAATCAATGTTCGTCAAGTACCCCAACAATTTTTTCACATATTACATTGGTCTAAAAAAAATGTAAGTTTGTCTTATTCAAACTTACAATCGCAATTAGAAATTAGATGCTAAGAATAGAAGTTCTCGATGCTCTGTGAGATTTTTCTTTTTTCGGACAAATAAAAAGTTATCGAATTGAGAATTTTTCCCAAAAGGTATGATTTTGATAAATAACAGCTAAATTATGTTCGTTTTGATTGTTACAAAAAAAAGTTTTAGACTAATAATACATACTTCCTACTGCCCTAAACTATACTAAGGAATAAGAATCCAGCATTCTTAATCTAACATGTTGATGTTGACTGGTGTTATGAAAAAATATGTAGGTAGTTAAAAGTATATAATGTCTCCAGACAAAAAAAAAACATTCAAGTGTAATTTAAAACTAGCACTTTCATAGCTCAACGTCAAAGCCCAAACGGAATGACGGGATGGTTCTAATGGCCGATAAAACCAAAAGAAAAAAAGCATATACTGTATGTATATATGTATATAATTTAGTGATGGAAATCCGGATTTTAAAAAAAACACTATTTAAGCTACTTAAAAATCTTAGAAATATTAAATAATATTACAAAAAAAACCAAAAATATTTTAATGAAAAGGAAATTAAAAAAAAATAAAATGCTTAATTTTGACTATAAATTGCTTTCGGATTTTGGATTTTCGGATTTCAACTAATCCAAAAGTAGTTTATCTTTTTAGTTTTATTTTTTATCAAAAATATTTTACTTAGGTACACGGCTTACACTGTAAAACTATTCAATACTTATGACTTAATAGCATTTTTTTGTGAAAATCCATATTTTGGATTTCCAATACAAATATATTTACATATATACTTTGTTGCCTAAATGATTGGTTTAATTTTGAACAGATACGTGGTTGTTAATTTAAAAAATTACATCAGTTGGTTTTGATTGGCTTTAGTTTTTACATGATGAAAATAATTAACGATTAATGCTGTAACTTGCAGAGAAACTGCGCGGGCAATACTTTATTAAAAAAAACTCTAAAATACATGTGTTTTGTAATTTATACATAACTTATCGTATGTCATGTATTTTCTTTAATGTATGCTTTTTTTTAAATTTACATTATAATATATTGATTTTAATTATACTCGCACAATAAAATAAAATAATATAATGGGATTTGATTTTCGATTTTTTTTTTTAGGTAAAACATGCAATGAAATAAAAATGTAATCAAGAATTCTTTACTTTATCGAATGACCGATTAAATCGCCTTATAATTTAGTTATTAACGGGAATAAAACAAGATCCATTCAGTATAAACTGTTATTATTTGCGAAATCTTTGAATTGAATATGCATATTTTCTTTAATTTCTTAGGTGGCAAAGAAAAAAATGTTGGTTCGTGTTGAGTGTGTTATATGTTGTTCGTGTTGTGTTTCAATGTTATTTTCACTACATTGAACAACAAAGAGCTAGCGTTTTTAATTTAATTTTTAGATGATAAAAAAATATTTTACTTTATCTATAAATGTGGACTTATTGTAAAACTTAGATTGACAGATCACTTGTGCGCTTTAAGAACTATTTTATCAGCTCTAAACGATATGGGCTTCCTGGTATTCTTCGCGTCGTCCGTGTCCTTCGGGGCGTTGAAGTAGTCGACGATTTCTTGATTTTCGACTTTCCTTTGATCTCTGGACAGGATACCCGTGTCTCTACCCAAGTCCCTCGAGTCCGGTCGAACAGCTACCACGTTTTGTTCTTTGTCGTTTTTGATTTGCTGCTTTTGCATGAACCGTTGGGATTCGTACTCATAATACGCAATCGCCATGGTTAAGTTTTTCTGATTGAACTCTTCCACAATCTTCATACACCAATAGAACTTGTTTTCTAATCTGTCAATGATTTGCACGCATTTGTCAACAACCGAGAGTTTGATTTCTGAAGCACCCTTGGTCAGTTCCTTTTGAGCGCTGCGAACAAGTTCGTTGGGCTTACACTGCGGACAGGGATCGATTTTTGCCAAAAATCCGTAAAGTTCCTTACGGTAATTCTTCTCGCCTCGGTTGACCAAATGAAAGTGTCTCAATATAGGCACCTAAAAACAAACGAGCCTTCTGTATTCAAATCCTATAGCCCAAAAAGGACGCGGCATAGGAAACGAGGGTTACTTTGTTTGAATAAAATTATTTACTTGTATTTTTTTTAATTTGGCTTCCAAGTTTTCCAAACCAAAGATCATTTCATTGAACAATTTCACGTAGTGGTTGTCCGCCTCTTCTATTTGCCGTATTTTCAGCGTTTGCTCGTCGACGAGTGGTTGCAAAATTTTCTTTTGTTTTTCATACTCTATTTCGGCGTTGGACATCATATGCAAACTTTCCGGTAACTGACATACGTCCTCTAATTTTCCCATCGCCAATTTCCACATTACCGTTTTCAGAGCCTTCAACTGAATCAACCTCGTGTAGCACTGCTTATCGAATTCCAAGCTCTGCAGCATTTCATCTTTGCTGCCGAAACCGAGTTCCTTCAATACGTAATCAGCGGCTACCTCGTCTTTGGTAGGAAAGTTGTTGTCGATACTTAAAAAATCTTGCAGTTCCCCTGGAAATTCATACTCATATTCCGCCTTTAAATGGTTCTGTATGTTGCGTTTGTATTCTTCGTTGACAAATCCCATAAGTCCGTCTTTAAAAAACGTGTCGTACCACTTGTGGCTGATTTCTTGTACTGTTTTGTTATCGGGCTGATTATCAAAAACTGACGGTAGTTTTGTGCGTATGATGTTTTCTAGGTCAGTCATCTGTGGTTCCTGCATCAGCAAGCTCCTATATGCGAAAACCACTCGTTAATGGGTTTCTAGAGTGTAACATATTATGTTATTATAATATACCCAACTAGGGAAAGTGAAATAGAGTTCTGGGGGCAATCATATTACCTGTTATGCTCAAGCATATTTTCCTTTGAAAGGAGTCGACCGATATAAGCCATCTCTTTTTCCGTGGCCTTAATATTGGCTTTTTTTTCTTCAATATATTTTTGAGTGTAGGTACCCTCGTCTTCCTTAAAAGTCGTACCAGTCTCAATTGTCTTTATGCCTTCTACGGCCAGTTCTTCAGCGTCATTTTGTAATTGCGCCGTCAGCGAGTCATACATAATAATATTTTCTTTCAGCAATTTTACCATCGCTTCGGTCTTTCTATTCGTTAGCTCGGCTGCCGCGATTTTTGTCTCCATGTCCGCTATCTTGCTGATCATCTTGTTCATAGCGGTAGTATCTTCCACGTTCTTATTGCTATCGAATTTTTTCAATTTTTTCAATTCTATCACTTGTAATTTGTTTTGTCGTTGTATCGCATTGCGCTCTCTAACTATTTTCTGTATAGAAAGTGCGATGCTAAGCTCGATCTCTCGGGGATTTAAGTTCTTAAATCGTTCCACCAATACTGGATCGGCCGCTACGCCGTTTAGGATCTTTTCTTTGTTATCGTTCTTAGCTAATTTTAATACATTTTGATAAGTGTTGATCCTTTCTTTTAACTTTGTCGAATACCGATCTTTGGCTTCCGCTTCTACTTGCAACGCTAATGAGCGATTGTGCTTGTCTGCCTCACGGACTTGTACGATTTCTTTAATCAAGTCTCGCTTTATTATGTTGGTCCACCGCTTATCATTTATGTGTTCTACTTTGTCAAAAGAGTCCATAGTTTTTTTTGGACTGGTTGCTGGAGAACAATTTCAATTACAGACTATTGCGATGATTTCAATTTTTTTTCTCCAATTTTATACTCAAAGTATAAAACACATTCAAGTTAAAAATTACAATTACAAAAAAACTGTTTGGCCCGGATCACTCAGGCAACTAGATAATAATTATTAATCTACAATTAAAGTGATGCCAATGTTTTTTTTTTCGCTCGACATTGTTCAAGGGGTAGCAATTGTTCTAATATAATTTTAATTATATTTTAACAACTGAGAAACATTTTCGTCTAAAACCTTATGTTTTATAATTTTTTATATTATACACAAACGAAAGCAATCGAAAAAAAATAATGGATGCAAGATGCTTAAATTCTTTAATAAAATCAAAATAACTTACTAAATGACGTTTAGGTGTTACCCCTTTTAGATTAAATCATTGCAATAACATTTCCTAATGGCAAATGTCAAACGCATGTATTATTTACAATAACAAACCTCAAGTTTTACAAAATAATTTGTTTATGCCTGCGTTGTAAAATTTAGTTATACCTAATGCTAATAATATGTAACAATTATTTCAGAAGTGACATTTTGGAATAATCGTGTAAGAAATTTAGAGTTCATTTATGAACAGCTGCATGAGCAGAGGATTGTGAAAATGGCTACAATTGTCCAACTGACTAATAGCGCGTATTATCCATGCCTAAAAAATATATACACGAATGTTACTTCTGGTAAGTTTTAAACACTGTTGCGTCTGTAACAAAATCATTAAACAGCTTTGTTCGTACAGCTTTGGAAGAGGCCAAAGACATTGCTCGATATTTAAAACCCTTACAAAAGCATTTCAAATTACTAGAAGAAACAGATTTTGGAGACATAATTGTGTGCTTAAGTCCATTAATGCATGTTGTGTGCTTGGTGTGGGCTAATTCTCATTTTTACTGCAACTCTAGTAAAATAATTATACTTCTCAAAGAGATATGCAATCTGGTGATTGAACAGGTATAACACTCTAAATAGATTTTAAATTTAAAAAAAACCCTACAGTCAAATATTAACCTATGTATAGGAAAAGTATTTTTTGATACTGTACTGTAAATTAAAATATATGATGTAATACTACATTAGCTATATACTTAGTAAACAGTTGTAATAATATTACATAATCTATTTGTAAAACGCGTGCATCCAAGATTCAAACATAAGTGTGTTTTTAGGCAATTAGATATTTAGATCCATCTTCTATATTTCAAAGTGATATCCATGAGACGAAATCGAGAGTTCAGCATTGTATATACGTCTTTGAAAAATTCAGGTATTAGTTTTTATAGGTTGCAATAATTATCAATACAAACGTTATAAAAAAGAAATGTATTAATAATTAAAATAATTGAAAGATTTTTTTTTGACCAACTAGAAAGGGACCAATTAATAGATATATCAATTATTTAATTTTTTGTTTTTAGGAACATTTTCAATGAATATCGTAAGAACTTACCGTCTTATTTTAAAAATGGGTCGACGCCAATATTGTGGACTTTTCATCCTAATATAATTTTCAACAGAACCGATTTATTTGTCAGGAGATTACACATCATTGAGGTAATTTGGTTGGCGAAGCTCTTGCCAAAAGTTTGTTAATGCTGACTTTGATCGTTTTATTAAGTGGTTTTTCGACACGGTCATGGAATTCACAAAGTTAGAAAGAATCGAGTTCAGTGGTTTGAAAGGACGATTACTGAGCACCCGAGTCTTAGATATTTATTCTGACTTTAACGAGCAATTTTCATTGTTTGCTAGCAAAGCCTACGACGTATTAGATCCAGAGGATGATAGGTTTGACGCGGATTACGAGCAATTCAAGGAAAGCGTAAAGGATTTGGATCATCGACTTGGTTTCACCTTGAGCCAAGCGTTCGACGACTGCTACAACTTGGACAGTGTTTTCAAAGTTAGTGTTGATTGTTGTAAACAATGAATGAGTGGATTTGCTTATTCGGTATAGAATTATAAATAAAATTATTTGCTAATACATCATAACTTAAATGTAATCAAATTAACGTAGTAAAATGAGTTTTATTAAATAAAAGTTATAACCTTTTTTAATTTTTATACTAACAATAGTAAATATTTATTAATGTTTAAAAAACAATTAGCTGATTGAAATAGTCAGTGTTGTAATGGATCGATCTCGGATGAAAGACATGTTTGCACAAAGTTATGATAATATCATATCCATGTTATCTGCAGAAATAACGATTTGTCAGGTAAAAATTAGTTGAATGCTTGTATTAATTAACAAATAAAAAACAATATAATGTTACACTGCACAGAAAATTTTTATAAGCCAACAAGATGCCATTAGAACCCGAGGTACCCCTATTGTGGACAAACTGATGCCTCCAGTTGCGGGTTGCTTAAAATGGTCACAGTCGTTGAAGGCTAGGATTCAACACCCAATCTATTGCTTCAAAAATCTAGATCATCCGTAAGGCCTTGGCTGTGAGCAAATTATTCATGCTGACTGACTTATTTTTCATACTTAGGATCGTTGAAAGTAAAGAGGCACGATTGATTCTGCAAAAGGTGGAAAATCTTATGGCAAATATTACAAAACTCGAAGAGGACTTTATCGAAAATTGGAGATCAATTGTTCCTGCCAAATGTCAAGATCTATTAAAATTACCATTATTTAAACGCGCGAACAAGTTCAACGAGCTGCAGCTTAATTTCCATTCAGAGGTAATTGGTATTTTAGCTATCCCGTTGCTTAACCCATAACATATGAACGTTTTTAGCTCGTTGCGATCTTAAGGGAAGTCCATTATTTGCGGGCTTTTGAGTTAGATATAATACCCGCCCAGGCGTTAAAACTGCACGAAAAGGAAGACACGTTCCGAATTAATTGCATTAATCTAAACAATATTAAAGAATGGTGAGATAAGAACGATTATAATATGATATAGAATCATAAAAAAACGTTTGACTTTGACTCTGTGTTTTAGTTATAACAAGTTAAGGAACAATAGCAGAGAAATCGAATATGAATTGGTGCGAGCGGAAATCGAAAATATCGACGAACTCGTCAAACAAGGAGAACAGACCTTGAATTGGAATTCGGAGGGTAATAGTAGTTGTTGAGTTATTCCAAGCAAGGTGATTGTATAAACGGGCGTTCTTTTGCAGGTCTCAAAGAATACATTGGAAAAGTGCAAGACTTAGTGAACAAGCTGTATCGCAGAGTACAAAAGACACAGGAAAACGTGAAACGAATGCGATCGATTTTATTCTCATGGGCCCGAATCCCAGTTCTGTGCCGGAAAGACAACAAAAAAGATACTTTGTTAGCTATGGACGATTGCGGTGAACGGTTTTCTAAAAGGTCAAGAGTAAAAATTTGATTAAATAGACAACGAAGACTAGATGGCAATTTTATTGTTGTGGAATGTCGATTGACGTCCCTGTATTATTCCATGCTTTCAAGTAGTTAATTTTCAACTAATAACGTTTTAATTAAAACAGGCGTAAAGAAATCAAAAAAGCCGCAACCGAAATTCAAAAGCTTTTACAAGAAAACTGCGCTTTGTTCGGAATGCAAGATAAAACCAATCACAGCCAGTGGCAAAATTATATGATATTCATTGATTCGATTGTTGCGGACGGCATGTTAAATGCAGTGGGTTGTAGGTGAGTCAAAACGTTTGTCGTTGGTCACACTTGTCAATCGTCGTATAGTCCAATGATATTTTTCTTGTTTGACATCTAAGCTTATGCTACATTGCTGAAAATATGATTCCCGAAAGCGCCACGTCACCTTTGTTCGAATCGAGTCTGGAGTTGCAAGATCCGGATTTGATGTTTGTGCCTTCATTAGATTCGAGCGAAGAAAGAAATTTTTGGTCCATTATACAAGGAATTATTGATGATATAGTTGGACTCTCCGAATACATGCCGCGGGTGTTGACTACGAATAACTCAAATAATTATTTCGTCAGTATTGATTTAAGACATATCTAACCATTGAGCAATTATTTTAGGTTCTTTTAACTGTTATATCTCAAATTTTAGGAAGAAATGAATTCCAATCAAGATATATGTGCCATGAGAGAAGACATCATGAGTGCGGTTACACGGGTAATCGAAGAGGTAAATGTGATATTAAATATATATTAAGGTATTTCCATGCCGTCCATTACTATAAGTTGATGTTGAAGGGATCAATTAATCATGACAGTCCATTAGACGCCCTTTCAAATAGGCTATAGTTTACTTGAAATTATAACAAATCTTGTTAGATATAAGTATAAAAAAAAATATTACTTATTAGATTATTTTTTCGAATTCAGGCCAATAACTATTGTTTAAACTTTGAAAATTATTCGTATTTGTGGTTGGATGATCGAGATCTATACATGCAACATTTTCTACAATATGGTCATCCTCTTTCGATGGAAGAGTATGATAATATGTCTGCCGATGAAACTTACTCTCCGCCTACTAAGAGCCCTACTATGGAACAGTATAAAGAACAAGTAAGGTTTTTTTTTTTAATTGAACCTTACATTGTGTTTATTGTCTAATAAGAGTTTTGGTAATTCAGATCGACAATTTCGAAAATCTTTACTGTGAAATCGAACAGTTAAAATCGGTCCAAGTATTTGATTCGTGGTTTCAAGTTGATATGCGACCTTTTAAACAAGAACTATTAAACACTGTTTGCAAATGGAGTCTTATGTTCAAACAACATCTAATGGACAACGTAACAAACAGGTAGAAAATAAAAAATATATTAAAATGGTGGTATTGATTTATCGCTATAGGCTTATGAAATAACATATGACTGTAGATAAATTTATAATTTTTAATTATTTAGATAATACTATTAAGTTGGTACTTTGTTATAATAATTTACAGTTTATTCGACCTGGCTAAGTTCATACAAGACGCAGACGGAGGTTTGATGCAACCGGTTGTCGAGGGTGACTACGAAACACTTGTCAGCGTCATGGGATATTTATACAATGTAAAAGAAAGACAAGCTAACACAGAGGAAATGTTTCAGCCTTTGACCGACACAATACAATTGCTGAAGTACTACGATATGGAACTTTCCGAAGAAGTCAATGTCCTGCTGCAGGTTTTAAGCACAAAGTTATGCTTGTTTATTGGTTTTTTAATCACGTTACTCGTTTTAAGGAATTACCCGAGCTCTGGAACAACACGTGTAAGCTGGCGGTTAACATTAAGCAGCAAGTTGCTCCGCTGCAAGCTATCGAAGTAAACAATATAAGAAATAGGATTTCACATTTCGACAGCCGCGTTGTTCACTTCAGGGATAATTACAAAAAGTCCAAAATTTTTAGGTAGGTTTTGTCGTCTTGTTCTTGGTTTTGTTTTCGACCAATAGTTTTATGTTTATGCTGCGCTTTACAAATACAGATACGACTGCTTGTATCCGTACTTTGTGTTGGACGACATCAATTCCAAGATTACCATGTTCGAGGACAACATGGCCCAGATACAGGAGTCAGCTTCTCTCTTTGAAGTTAACGTCCCCGAGTTCAAATTGCTCAAACAGTGTAGAAAAGAATTGAAACTGTTGAAAGTACACGATTTTTCAACGATAATTGTATGCGTCTAAACTTTTAATTATCCAACTTTTGCCGTTTTAGCAACTCTGGGACTACGTGCATCTGATCCATTCGTGCATAGACGATTGGAAGACAACGCCTTGGCGGAAAGTCGACGTCGAAAATATGGACATTGAATGCAAAAAGTTTGCTAAAGAAATACGAGGTTGGTGTGAACATCGTCAATTTTAGTGAATTATTTTGTGTTTAAAATATATTTTGCCTTCATTTGACGACTTCACACGCAGCATTGGACAAAGAAATGAGGTTGTGGGACACATACGCGTGCCTGGAAGGTACTGTGAAGAATATGGTCACATCGCTGAGGGCTGTGGGCGAGCTCCAGAACCCGGCCATTCGCGAACGCCATTGGGAACAGCTGATGAACTCCACCAAGGTTTGAGGAAATTTGTTAAATATTATTTTTTTTCATGTCCCCTTATGTATGTACCATTATATTACTATAATGGTGTATTTTATGACTTGTAAATGCAACGTCTGAACACTAACCACTAACCTGTTTACAGAGTTTAGTCGATTTGGCAGACACGTTCGATGTGAGTAACAAACAAAAAGCGTAGTTTGTTGAATAGTATCAGAGGCGTAATTATTCATGATATAATATTATATTTTTTTTTTATGGAAGTTAAACATTTGAATGGAGTGAAAACTTGTTTAGTTCATCTACCCGTATTCATACACGTTCATATAATTTAGGATCTACCAAAAAACTATGAATTTTCGAAGGAGTCTGTTAATGTTATTTTATAAAGATCATACAACTTCTTAACTTTGATGACATTTTGTATTTAATAGTCTAGGTAATAATTAAATAACTATCCAAAAAACTTATTTTAAAAAACTACTTTTGTACTTAAGACTTTTTTACCCCACGAAGACAAATTATCGAAAATTAAATCGCTTTAAGAGTCAATTTTTCTGAGCGTAATTTTACTACTTATGATCTAAAAATATAACTAAAATTACATCTTACGTGTACAAATATAATATTAATAAAGAATTTTTAAATTTTAATTTTATTGACTAAAAAATGTATAGGAAATAGCATTTGAAATTAGTATCTAATTAGCTTATAATTCAATACCTACTGACCTATTATTAGTACTATCTAAAAAAATGCTTAACTTACGCCATTAAATAACTATTTTATTCTTATTGATCTTTTATATAAAGTTGTTTTATTACATTTCAGACATAATATTTTTAATAAATCAGTTAGGAATCCACTGCATTGGAGAACATATTTTAAACATTTATTATTCCCTCTTAATAATGATGCTAAAGGTGTGTTTCGCCGTCCATATAAAAGCACTCCCTTCAAATGTTTGTAACTACGCCACTGTATATAGTATAGCCTTTGTGAGTGTTTTGTAATTGTTATCATGTTGTATACTAATATTTCCATCTACTATACATGTACAATTTGTCTATCTACTATATTATATTGTTATGTATTTTAATATTATAATAGCTATGGACCCGCCTGTAAGAATGGAAACCTTATGGTCAATCAAACCGTTTGTAACCGGTTTATCAAGTGGTGTCATTTTAGTTTTTACGAAAGGGGATTAAAATAATAACAGCTGTCGCCTAGTTTTAGTAGGGTTTACCAAACAAAGTCCACTATCGTTGATTGCGACCGATTTATCTTGTTTCAAAATCAGTCTTTCTCACTTCTCTCACGTGAAAAAGAATTCATACCTCTATCTACATCACAGCAGCCAGTTATACTTGTTGATAAGATCATAGTGAAAACGAACCAACAGCTTTATTTCACTTCTTAAATAATTTCACTAGATTTATCAGACATCTTCCTTGTGCCTATATTGCGACAAACATAAAATATCAAAAAAAGTATCTAGTTTTAGTAGTCAGTAATATATAATTTGAGTTAGTTGTGAGTACATTTCTGTTTGATTAATTATTATGCAATCCCTAATTGATCAATTTTAACTTTAAAAGCACACATAAAATACTTGAAATACATAATAATCGTGGTACAAATAGCACAATATAAAGAACGCATCTAAAATGTTAGAGAGTTAATCACAAATAGTTTTATATATATTAATAACTATATTTTTGTTTAGTGCTTTAGAAATTATTTAATTTTTAATAATTTTAACCTTTTAAAATGTCACATTCTTTTTACAATATTAATCAACATTTTACGGAAGGTATCAGATAAATTAATAATTTTAAAAAATGTTGCCATATAAAATTTTCCTTTATTCTTCAACACATTTTAGTTAATATGTTTAATTTAAAAAAACATGTCCAAGTAAGTTTTGAAAGTTTAGGAAAAATATTTTTAGGTTTGAAATTGTCCCTGAAAGGTGTTTTTTTAGGTCAAACATTTTTAAATGTTAAGCCTTTCCTTTTAAGACCAACATTTTTTTTTATTTCGCTTTTTTATGTTTATTTTAGGGCTTTAGATCTGCAAATTAGGCTGATGGTAGATCTATAGGGGGGCTATAATATAAATAATTGCTTACAATAATCAGTAGTCAAACTTTTTTATTATTATAAAATTGCACTAAAACATTTAAAAAATATTTTTGATTATGATATATGGGTAACAGCGACAACAAATTATAAGGGTAGACAGACGGTCAACTGTAATCGTATCCTCCTTAATACTAAAAATCAATTTTAAACACATTTTTGCCTTAACAATGTCTTAATCGATATTTAATAGTTCTGCCATTTACAGAATAGCATCGGAGCGTTTGTTTGAATGTGATTTTATTACTTTTAGTTATAATAATTGCTGAAAATCTGTGACCCACCCTATCCTAATATTTTTCCCATCCCACTGTGCCTCAGCGTCATGGTGTTCTGGCTTTATAATTTTTTTAAATTGTTTATGTTCACTTTTTTAATTTATTGTTTTATTAGCAAGCCCCTGTCGGTAAATGTTATTAGCTGGTTTGATGTTTTCAAGTGCTTGAGTATTTATTGTTGTACCTATTTAATAAGCATATACTTGGTGTAGATTATATTTTATTGTGTTAATTGAAGTTTGCAGATTTGAGGAAACTGAGCGTTTTAACACTAAAATTGTACTTTTTTTGCTCGTATCCGATTACTACGAGTACATTAAACTATTAACTATCCCTTAAAATTCGTATATTGCTTTTAAATTTACCATGTATTTTGATGGTGTTGATACTGCGATATTGGTTATTTGCTATACTGTTTGGCGTGCTTAAGCGGCTGATTTATTATGATTTTCTTTTAGGTGAAATTCGTGATGGACCAAGCGACTACCCTGGCCGAGTTGTTGGCGTTGAATTTACACGACTGCGAAGACGACGTCAAGACCATTGTTGACAAAGCCGTTAAGGAAATGTCCATGGAGAAAATGCTGCGAGAACTACAAACTACTTGGGCCACCATGGAATTCTATCAGGAAATTCACGGCCGTACCGGATGTAGTTTGCTGAGAGCCAGCGAAAAACTCATCGAGACCTTAGAAGAGAATCAAGTGCGTTTTTCGATTGTACACATTACAATAATTATTGTTACTCTGCTAGAGCAAATGCCATTTTTTTTTTTACAAAGAAATTTCTAAAAAAAACTATGATTGCTAAACCATTAGCATGGTGACTTCAAAGTAGGAAATATCCCTAGTTTAGCAAACTCAAAGTAACAAAAACTTATTTTGTCAAATCAAAATTATGTCATATACGAGTTTTTTTTCTCCAAAACTTATATCGTTAAAGGTATTATAAAATAAACTATCCATAGAGGTACTTTATCGTATAAATTTCAAGCAAAAGCAAATACTAAAAAAAAATATGTTCGTTTCTTCACTGAACTAATCACTTAAACAATCAAAATTGATTGTCAACCCTATAATTGTACACCAATTACTATTATGGTGTTTCGTTGAATATGGTAATTAATAGATTGTTCATGCACTCTTGTTTCTGTCGTATAACAACAACTAAATAGTTGGTAATTGGTCAGTAAACACATACTGGTCGTGTTTAGGCTGTTAAATGCGTCAATGGCGTTGCTTCCTTTTACACATTTAAACAACACATTGTACTGAGAACTAATGGCAGTTGCACAAGCAAAATAATTAACATAATAATATTGTACAGAGTACATCAATGTTAAACTAATACTAGCCATCCGTCAATTAACCTTGGACGACTAAATTGTTTTGTTTAGAGTACAATATTTTTATTGATTATCTAAATAAATATATGTACAGGAGGGTACAGGAGAAAGAAAAGTGGAAGATTTACGTTAACTAACAAACCTTGTAAAGTAGATACGGTAGAGAGGTTTAGTAGTGAAAGTAAACCGTAAAAAGTGAAAGCATTAAAGGTAAAACGAAAAAAGAATTACGAACATTGTATTAGAGATAAAATAATACAAGAAATCAAAAAGCTTTTTTATTTGTTGATCTTGTGTATAAATATGTATGTATATATCAATTTATTATAATAATAAAGTAATAAGTAATAGTATGTTATAAAATTTGATTATTTAAAATCAATTATTCAAATAATTCGATTAATATCGGTTTTGACGTTTAAAATGTTTTTTTTTTCACTTTTTTTTATTGCCTTTAATAGTTTAATGGATATTAAGTGCTTGCTTTTCTATTTTCCGAACCACTATTTTGCTGGTAGTTTGCCTACTTTCTGAGGCCGTGTAAAATTGCAACACGCTAGAGGCCGTCGAACTATAGTCCTTGAGCTCTTTTGCCCCATTGTATTTCCGTCATATATAGTATATACACTCACTCCACAATAAAACCGTCACTATATAAACAATGTCTAATGTCTGGTTAACCTTAAGAATATATTTTATCCATTTCGCCTATAGACAGTGAAACTAAATTTATATTATTATTAAAAAAAAATATTTTTAATTAGACAAACAAACTTTGTATATTAACCGGATTTTCTTATACAGTTTGTACATTCATATTATACATAACATTATGTATTTACGGACGGTATTTTATTTTATTGCTAAAATTATTATGAAATAAAATAAGTAATAACTTTCCACATTAATTAATGTAGCAAGTTAAATATTACCGTGAACCTGTTTTGAAGATTATTTTAAGATCGCTATTAGCATGTTTTCTCTTTTAATAATTTTTAGTGACCCGTGTAAACTTATTTAGGTAGTTATAAAAATTTAATTAAATATAATAAATTGAAAAGAAATCAATATTTAAGTAAATTTGTGCGATTAACAAAAAAACTATTACACGTTAGTCTTTAAGACATTATATAATACAAGTTGCTATCAACCGTTGAATTTAACTTTAGATGTAGCTTATATTATATGTAGGGTCTAAAATTGCACGAAATTACTTGTTATAAATATTTCAATATTATGAAAAATAATTTTAAATGAATTTCCTATACAACAACTATGGTTTTTATGATTGTAATAAATTATTACCGCTGAATAAAACAAATATCTTCATACAAATTATATAATTTAAATGTTAAATGCTAAACATTTTTTTACCTGTAACTTTTTAGGAAATGGACACTTTATAAATACATTGATAGCTATTTAAATAAAATTATAAAAACCAACATGAAGTCTTGTCGCCGAGACATTAGCTCTATCGTATACTAAGATGTATACTGTAATACATATTTTGTAAATGAAGTGTTAAATTTAAAATCAAATATTAATAACTTAAGATATAAAAAAATTAAATTTTTTCATTAATAGATTATTTCATGCAATTTATTTATACAATTTGTAAAAAAACAAACGGGCAAAATCTCTATCCGTCTAATTGCGTTGTCAGTTTAATGGCAACACGTCAAAGGATTTGGTTTTCCAAATTCAGTCCAAATACAATTGCTTGTTTTTTTCCATCTTGTACGATCCTGTTTAAGGTTCAACTACAAAATTTGATGACATCGAAATTCGTTGCGTTTTTCCTGGAAGAAGTCTCAGGCTGGCAACAAAAACTCAGCATAGCCGACCAAGTCATCAACTCGTGGTTCGAAGTGCAACGGACTTGGATGCATTTGGAATCGATTTTCATGAGCTCTGACGACATCCGCAACCAATTACCGGAAGACTCGGAGAGATTCATTCGCATCGATTCCGAATTTAAAGTGGGTTTTCACACCCGTTGTTTTTGTTTTTTGCGATATTTTTCTAACAACGACCGCTTTTCGCTTACACGTTTTGCCCAGGAGCTAATGGCAGACATGTCGAACACCCCAAAAGTCATCGAGGCCACCAACAAACCGGGTTTGAGCAAACATCTGGACAATTTGCACGGTCATTTGACGTTGTGCGAAAAGGCTTTGGCCGAGTACTTGGAAACAAAACGTCTTGCGTTTCCGAGGTTTTACTTCGTGTCGTCCGCTGATCTTTTGGACATTCTATCCAACGGAAACAATCCAAACTTAGTTGTTAGGTAAGTACCTAACGTTTGAAGCGACCCCTTAAGGGATTTTTTTTGTTGAAAATTAAACTACATATTGTCTGTTACGATGAAAAGAATGTTCTCAAATTTGTTTGGGTTTTATTTAAAATCATTTTTTGTCCACGGTCGTAAAAAGTATTTTAAGTTTTTTTCATGACACTTCTTTTTTATAGTTTTTTTGACCATCAAAAAAAAAAGAATAAAAATCAGTTTCTTATGGAAAATAATCTCGGCTTTCTAAAAAAAATATTTTTTTTTTGCGTAACAGATGTCATTAAAACAATAAGTTGTTTTTTTCGTGTTGCACAAAACTTAACAACTTTTCTAATATTTTTTTTCAGAAGCAATTATAATTTTACATTTGTTTATTTCAAACTTGGTTCTGTATAAAAACACTTAGAAAAACAAAACAAATAAGGTTTAATTTCATAGAACAGTCAAAAAACGAAAACATTATAAAAAATAGTTGAAATAATCATGTGTAAAAATAAGATAATTTTCCGTTTTTCGATTTTTCCATGAATTTTTGAAGTGTATAACTATTTTATTCAGAATCCTAACTTCTAAAGTGTTGGGTCGTATATAATTTTCATATAAAACAATGTTCGATTTTCACAATTCAGTCTAAATTTTAAAACTGCCCAATAATTTTGAACACACTGTTTTGGGGGGTCCACAAAAAACATTTTACTTGCTAAGCCCTCAACACGAAATTTTTAAATGTGGACGGGTAAGTATGATTTAGGTATAGCTACAAATGAATTAGAAAATATGAACAATCAGTGATTTCGAAATGTATGCGTAGTCGGTAGTCTTATTCGGGAAATTACATGTTATCATAACACACGCAGTTGAAAAATTGTTAGATAAAGTTTTAGTGTTTAAAATACAATTTTAAAGTGAAAGGCAAAAACGACATTCTAAAACGACATCATAATATTATTATGTATTTTCGGTTTTAAACAGTTATACTGTTATACAGTCATACTAACGGCAGTAAAAATAAAAAATTATGGAGATTTTTAAAAACAGTATAAGACATCTGAGTGTGATAAAATGTCAAAAATGAGTCCTCGCATAATTGTTAACTGTTATTTTAACACACACATTAGGTTCAATTGACATAATGAAACACTCTTGATACATAATTTTTTTTTAGTAAATTCAAAATGTTTAATACATATAGATAGATACGTCCTGTAAAAATTTCAGAATTTTTAGTTTGAACCCTAAAAATGTATAGGCTCTTAAACATTACACTTTTTAGTAAAATACCGAATTTTGATCATAAAAAAAAAGTCTCAAAAAAAAAATATGAATCAAGAGTAATCAAGATGTGTTAGAAATGTTGAATTTGTTTTTCAATTTTTAGCTACTTAAAAATTAGAAAAATAAATTGTTTAAGGATATTATGAAAAAGAATACTTAAATTACAATTGTTCAGTGAAAATTCCATTTCAATATCATATTTATTCATTAAGTAACGTGGTCGTTAACTTAAGGTGTTTTTACAATAAATTTACGGAATATAGCATCGCCTAAGTCCAACATTTTTTTGTTAAAATTTTTTTCCTTCACTTTTTCGATTTTATGGAATTATTTGCATAGGTTGTATAAGTTTAAGGTATTTAGAAAATCATCTCGCACACATATCAGGTGATTTTGCATGGAATGACCCAAATGATATTGTTTTTTTAATGAATTAATCAAACATTTAGACTTTTGGGTACGGTTAACGTTTTTGAGTATTTTTGTTTCAGGCATATGATTAAATTATTCGACTCCATAGCATCGTTGAAGTTTGTCGATGCGAAATCCACAGAAAAGAAAGTGGCCTCCGGAATGGATGCCAAGGACGGTGAATACGTTAAGTTTAACGAGGATTGCGATTGCAGCGGACCAGTATGTATAATATGTTAAAACTCCATTCACGTAATATGTCTAGACGAAGTTTGTCAGAATAAGGAAATTTCTAGAAACACTTATTATGTTAGCTAAGGCTGTAAGTTGGAGAAGGTATTCTTTGTATAAATTATAAAAAAGGACGTTTGATCATATCGTAACTATAAATACTATATATATAATAAAGTATATTCTATCACAAAATAAGCATACCATGTTTTACATAAATTATAAACTATCATACTTGTATATTCTATAAAAACTTAACCCTTTTAATAAATTTAAATAATAATATTCAATACCTACTGATCGCATGCAGCGTAATCCAGTCAAACAAATATTTTGATTTTTTTTCTATACATTATTTAAAGAAGTGTTGATAGATTAGTTTTACCTAATGGATTTTGCAAACAGAAATAAAATACAACAATAATGTTAGCCAAATCCGATTTTCTTTTATAGCACGTTTTATTATTATTTTTTTTTTTTGTAAAACACCTGTTGCTGAAAAACATTGCTTCATGACATTTCCAACACGCTTTTGTATACACTAAACTAAAACATGGACATTTTTTTATGTGAAATGAATATTGAATTGATACCAAAACAAAAATTATTTTTAGCAAATCTACAAAATGTTGTTTGTTTCAAAAAATAACCATCATGCTCAAATTATGATTTTTTCCATAAAAAACCATCGAGCCGTTTGTTTTCATTAAATTTTTCTACAGTCTACAGTTATTTTAGTAAGAAAATGATGGCATAGTATTAACAATTTCACAGACGTTAAACGAACATAATATTATTATAACTGTTTTATGTATACAGTATATTTTTAACATAAAACCGATATTCGAGAATAACAACTGTAACGGATGTAGTAAAATTATCAATTTTTTTTTTTAATAATAATACGCTTGTATTGTCTCTTCGAGTGGCTTTAAAATGTAATATATATTTGATTGTGTTAAGCTGAGGCCATAAAGATAGTACTACTGTAAAAAAAACTCGACTCGAGGTCGTTTGAAATGAAACTGCGCAATTCGAACACTATACTATGCACTTAACCAAGAATAGTTTCAAATTTCCATTTTTTTTTTGAACTATAAAATCTAATCGAGTTACTTATCCGTGTAATTGTCAACAAAAAACCGAAAATAGAATATTACTATTTAGCTGTTGACGCATTTATGTGGTTTGGACAAAAAATGGGTAAGTCAGACGGACCAGACGGACTTACTGGCCTTGGAGTAGATGATTTCAAGGCGACGGGGGTAACGAATGGGTAGAAGCAGACAATTAACACGGAAACGACGGTTGTTGTAACACATTGAATACTTAATGCTTTCCACTATTTGATATATTACACATTTAGTAAATAAAAAAAAAAAAATTGTCGGGTTTGATGGGGCCAGTTTAAATTTTTATCAATATAATTGTATATAATAGTCGAGTAAAATATCAAACCTCTTGGTCAGTTTAAAAATCCGATTTTTTATTTTATTTTATAAAAACAAAAAAATGTTAAAAATGATAATTCCCTTTAAATTTCGATTAGTTACTATAGATGCAATTTTTGTTGTACAATATTAAGTAGGTTTAAACCGAGTAGAGGTTTTTTTTTGAGATTTAATAGTTTTACATGGTATTTTATAATTTTTAAGCCTTCCAAAAACGTAAACAAAAATACAATTTTTTTTTTTTAATTTGTTCTTTTAACTATGGTAGGTAGGTATTTGTAATGGGTTCCACCTTACAAAGTTTATAGTTTATCGGTTGGAAAGTTTAGTTATCGATTCCGCATAACGTTCAGACGTGTCTGGGATATCAAAAAAACTAATGTACTATGTAGCACATTATAGTTAATAGTAATATTATGTTTCTATATTTGATAGGAGGCGGCCAAATAAAAAGTGAAAATTATTACAGCGCTTTAAAATTAATTCAATTTATACTAACGCACAGCACGTTTCTAAGTTGCAAATCCAAGGTGTTTTTTGATTATTTGTAATCTGAAGTTGTATTTATGCTATTACTATTATATTTTATACTAGTCTGACCGAAGATTTCTATAACATGTGCAATTTTTTCAATTAATTTGAAACACAGTTTTTCCTAGTCAGGTATTGCGATTTCTTTTAAATGTTTTCCCTAAAGAAAACATCAACAATTTGAAGCTGTTATATTTTGAATGTTTTGGCGGGTTTTAGTTTTTTTTAAACAAAATACAATGCTATCGACTTGCCAGCTGTTTAAATTTAGACTCCTGCATTGCTGGTAAAAGGCAATGCGCTCGATGTACTATACCACTCGTCTTGAGTGTGTGAATCCATTAGAGGTTAACGATCCCGTTTCGTTCCCATTCGCAACACTATTTTAGGACTTTTGATGTATTCTTTTTCTATATTATGCGTAAAAGTGTAAGCCTACACGGTTCACTTTAAGCCGTCTTAACATTAAAAAAAAAAAATTAAGTCCTTCCAAAAATCGGAGAAACCCCAAAATTTTACTCACTCACTTTATACCAAATTTCGTCGTTTTCCATGAGACGCGCTAAGTGTTGCTTAATTTCATCCGGGTTTTATTATTTTTAAATAGAAATATTCTTGATGGATATTCGTTAGTAGTGAACTCGCATTTGTCGCCTTCAAAAGTCTACTAAGATTTTTGAATTGAACGAGTTACAGTTATTAATACTAAAACTTCACACGGCTCAGCCTTATTGGAATACAAGTTCATAACATTGTTAAGTTGACAGCTGATAAAAAATGTATTGAAACTTATAACGTTTTGACTTAATGATTTTATTCTACGCCGAAAATAAAAATCACTGTCTATTTCAAGTTAGTCGTGAATTTGCATAGCTAAATAGAAATGCTATTGTATAAAATATATAAATAAAACAATTAAACGCGTTGTGCTCAGTCTTAAGAGTACCTCCTTTTATTCAGATTTATTTTGTTTATTTATACTACTAGAATGAGTGACTTGCAAAAATCTATAAAATAAAGTATTTTATGATGATTAAAAGACCATCTATATTATACTATTTAACATAGGTAAAAGGAGGATGTGATCTTTTAATATATTATTTGATAGGCGTACTAAGTAAATGTTTATTGGCAACAGACTAATGTTTAACGGCCAAAACTATTTTAACTTTGATGCAGTAAGACTTTAAAAAAAAATCATTAGAATGACATTTAAATTGAATCGCCATTTATGAAATCAAAGTACCCACATACAGTACCTAGATATAAATATTACTATTTTATTTTAGGTACATTATGATATACGTGTCCTTGGTTGTATTGTGTAATAACTAATACAAAAAACCGATAACTATATTACAAAATAACAACTAGCATGGTTGGAAAATCTGTGTTAAATAAATAAAAATGGTATACAATTTCCTTCAAATTTAGTTATGCATGTTGAATGATAGATTTAATAAATTTGTATTAATATGTTATAAAACAATTTTTTTTTGGAAATTTACATTAGCTGGTATTGAAATAATACCAACTGATTCAACAATATGTAAGAATAACCATATATTTGTATATATTTTCAATAATTAACAATATAATTGAAATAATTGTCATGCATGTATTAAAATATATATATTTCTGTAAAAAAAAAACTGAAGGTAAATTTTTTGTCCTTGACCAAACAAAATTGTTTTATCATTTGAAGAATATTTACCATCTATGCTTGCTTCGAACATAATAAGCAAGTAGTAACAATATATGTTTACAAAAAAAAACGGTGATATGATATGTGGATGGCCTCCATCCAGTGATAGAACCCGACGTAAAAAAAAATAATTTTTTATAATAGATCTCCATTATTATTCCAGTTAACAATTATTAAAGAATCACATTCAAGAAAACGCTTCGATGCGAATCTGTGGATACTGGACCCTACTTTAGTAATTTCTTACTGTGCTGGTTGAAATTGTGCTAGTTTATACAGTGTTGGTTTGAACTGTGCTAGATTCTTCATTATTTTTTATTATGGATTATTATTTCCTGAATCGCATCAAAGCATTTGATTTTGGTAATATGATAATCAGATTAAAAAATGTATATGAAACAACTTTGCTAAATTCTTCTGTACTGATTTATAGTGTGTTGGTTTAAACTGTGCTAGTTTAGGCAGTGCTTGCTTTAAAATGTGCTGGGTTTTTTTTTTGGTAAAAAAAACTTTAGGAAAAATTTAACATGATTTCAAATACCATAGTTTTTATGAAATTTACTTATTATTTTTTTCATTTATACAGAGTTATTAATTTAACTTAGACACTTAGAAATAACAGTAATTTTCTTGTTTATCATTTATATAAACATAGTTTTCTTAGTTTTTTCACAATATAAGAATTACCAACAGGTCATTTAAAATATTTAGTACCTAAGTTATAGTAAATTAAAAAAAAAATTATAAACTAGTTATATCCGTTACTATATGGAAAATAAAATCTGTAGTCACATAATATTTTTTATCAAAGAAATCCAAAAAATCAGAATACACGTTTATAAACGCACATAATAATATCTGAAAAGTGATTTATATTTTTTACCATTTACAGTTTCGTATATTTAAATGTAATTTCCACGATAAAGAAAATAATATGTTGCGATTAGTTTTCTTACTAGACCTACTTTTTCTTGTAGCAAGGTCAAAATTTAAAAGTTTACCCCTTCAAGTTCAAGAAAAACATCTAAAAAATGGAAGAAAATCTATAAGAAATTTATAGAGAACTCTGACCTCTTCGACTATGCCCCGTCCCTAGTATGCGCTGACCCTACTGTGCTGTTTTTTATTTTTAATTATACAGTGTAAGGTTAAAATACCCAAAATCAAAAAAACACCAAAATTGTATTTTATGATTGTTTATAGCTTGTAAAAATTATGAATACTCTACTCAGTACAGATAATAATTATTATTCATTTTCAGGTAGAAAAATGGCTGAACAGAGTACAGGCGATGATGCGCGAAACGATAAGACAAAATTTCCTAGAAAGTACAATATCCTACGAGGAAAAACCAAGGGAACAATGGCTTTTCGACTACCCGGCACAAGTATCGTTGTGCGGCACTCAGATTTGGTGGACGACCGAAGTGAATATAGCTTTTGCTCGGCTAGAAGAGGGCTACGAAAACGCTTTAAAAGATTATCAGCGAAAACAGGTAAGTCCAGACGACACCGTAGCTTTCTGAGGTATATCATTCACACTTACTTCGTGTTGTATAGATATCCCAACTTAACACGTTAATTTCGCTCTTGCTGGGAGAGTTGACAAAACAAGACAGACAGAAAATTATGACCATTTGCACTATCGACGTACATTCCAGAGACGTCGTCGCCAGATTGATTCAGTCTAAAATAGACAACGTTCTCGCTTTCCAATGGCAATCTCAACTCCGGCATAGGTACCGACGTTTTAGCCGAAATGATAACTTATGATAACGATACCTTATGTTTTCATACTGGATAGGTGGGACGATAAAGAAAAAGACTGTTTTGCCAATATCTGCGATGCCCAATTTCGGTATAGTCACGAGTACTTGGGGAATACCCCGCGTTTGGTTATCACTCCTTTGACGGATAGATGTTACATAACACTTACACAGGTATAGCTTTTGGCTTTAACGTGTGCCTCTGTTGAGTCCCTTACTAATTATAATGCTGGTGTTTTGTCATTTTAGTCGTTACACTTAATAATGGGTGGTGGCCCGGCCGGACCAGCCGGCACCGGTAAAACGGAAACGACAAAGGACTTGGGACGGGCTCTTGGAGTGATGGTGTACGTGTTCAACTGCTCGGAGCAAATGGACTATAAGGTCAGACGTTTAAAATAAATCTGAAGAGCTTAAACTGAACGGGAGACGAACATTTTACTGAACTTTAGAGCTACATTTTGTATTTGACGTAGTAGTAGTTGGTTTTTTCTGAGAGAATTGAAAAGAATTTCTTTTGAGGGTGGGAGGAAGTGAAGATCATATCATCATAGCGCCGTCATAAACGAAATTGTCGTTTTCAGTCTTGTGGGAATATTTACAAAGGATTAGCTCAAACTGGGGCTTGGGGTTGTTTTGACGAATTTAATAGAATATCGGTCGAAGTGTTGTCCGTCGTCGCCGTTCAAGTAAAATCAATTCAGGTGAATATGACGAAATAATATTAGTATAGGTACTTTCACTATTGGATAAACTTAATATGACTGTTTTTTTTTTGAGATTAGGATGCTATAAAAGAAAAAGCTTTGACATTCAATTTTATGGGTGAAGTTATTAGCCTGATACCGTCTGTTGGCATTTTTATAACCATGAATCCAGGATACGCCGGCCGAACTGAGTTGCCAGAAAATCTAAAAGCTCTGTTCAGGCTAGTATAGAAAATCGTTTGAGTCGCATTTTTTTTAGATTTATATTGTTGTAGTTATGATGAAATGTGCTATATTTTAGGCCGTGCGCTATGGTAGTGCCAGATTTCGAATTGATCTGCGAGATAATGCTGGTGGCCGAAGGATTCCAAGAAGCGAAAATTCTCGCCCGAAAGTTTATAACGTTGTACACACTTTGCAAAGAACTACTTTCTAAACAAGACCATTATGATTGGGGATTACGTGCCATCAAATCGGTGTTGGTTGTCGCTGGTTCCCTTAAGGTTTGTTCGATGAAACCATCTAGCGAGTAGTTTAGCCAGACGATACATCTATTGCATTTCAGAGAGGCGATCCTGGACGTATCGAAGAAGAAGTGTTGATGAGAGCGTTGAGAGACTTTAACGTACCGAAAATTATCAGCGACGACGTCCCGGTGTTCATGGGATTGATCGGTGACCTGTTCCCTTCGTTAGACGTACCCCGTAAGAGGGACCAAGATTTTGAAAAAACCGTAAAACAAGCGGCTGTCGATTTACTGTTGCAACCCGAGGAAAATTTTATATTAAAAGTACGCGTTATTCTTTCAATGGTCTGACCACTTACATTGGTTAAACACTTTTTTTGGCGTTACAGGTTGTACAGTTAGAAGAGCTTTTGGAAGTCCGGCATTCGGTGTTCGTTGTGGGAAACGCGGGCACTGGTAAGACCCAAGTGTGGAAAACGTTGTTTAAAACCTATCAGAATATCAAACGAAAACCGATTTACAACGATTTAAATCCAAAAGCCGTGACTAACGATGAGTTATTCGGGGTCATTAATCCAGCTACCCGTGAATGGAAAGACGGTAAAATATATTAAACTAATGCCCAACGTTCAATAGGAATTAGCTGTTGCTATAATTTCCTCATATTGGTATATTTAGTTAAACAAATTGCAAAAATTAACACAACATGTGTTTAAAAAATGTCTACTAAAATAATCCATAGTCATAATAATAAATATACCTACAAATTATCGTTTTGACTTTAGATTTTACAAAAAATTGCCTGTATTTAATAGAAGGTATATAACGTACATTAAATAAATTGAAAAATTACAATTTACAATTTTGAACTAATAAAAAACTATGTGTACATGATTAATATTATTTTTAGGTTTGTTTTCTGTGATAATGAGAGAACAGGCTAATGTAGCCAACACACATCCTAAATGGATAATTTTAGACGGTGATATTGACCCGATGTGGATCGAATCATTAAACACGGTGATGGACGACAACAAGGTCAGTTGTGCTAAACAAACCCTTACGAAATCCCAACTTGTACACGGTGGTCGTTTTCCTTATGTTTAGATATTGACGTTGGCCAGTAATGAACGCATTGCGCTGACGCCATCGATGAGACTCATTTTCGAAATATCCAATTTGCGAACAGCTACCCCGGCAACGGTATCGCGGGCGGGCATACTGTACTTGAATCCTCAAGATTTGGGATGGAATCCGTAAATGAATTTAAAATACTATCATTTGTTTGCTAGTCACTATATTTTGTGAACGTCTTGGGCTTGCAGCTACGTAACGAGTTGGATTGAAACAAGAGAACATGCGGTGGAGAAGAGCAATCTGGTCATACTTTTTGACAAGTATATACCGCCCTGTTTGGAAAATATCCGGAATAGATTTAAGAAGATCATACCGATAGCGGAAATGGCGCACATACAAATGTTGTGTTATCTGCTCGAGTGCATCTTGGTGCCAGCCAACACGCCAGTGGACTGTCCAAAAGACTGGTACGAACTGTACTTTACGTTTGCGTGCATATGGTCTTTTGGAGCGGCGATATACCAAGAACAGGTTTTTATAGTTTGCTTATTTTAAGTTTCCCACCGATGTTCATCCATACCGACAATATACTTTACCTAGGAAGTCATCATTCATTTTAGAGACCTCTTACACCACCAAACATCGGTTACTGGCGGTTCGTTTAATACAATGAACCGCCCGAGGCTCATTGGAAACTTATAAATAAATACATATTTGATGAAAGTATAAATATATCAACAATGATAATAATCGGAATACTGTATATAATAATACACAATACTGTTTTTGAAATTGAAACTAGACTTACTCTGGACTGTAGAAGGCAATGATCGAAGAGTTTATTAGAAACCTTTAAATTAATCGAAATAGTTCTTCAGGAAGCTTAAATATTAGTATCTGTCTAAATGGTATTTTTGTAGAGCTTGATAAGCAATATATTACTGAAGAGACCAATTCCTAGTTACTTTAACGTTCATTGAGAGTTCAATGGACCCTAGTGGTCTTTCAAACACAAAACTATAGTTGGATCATTAAATTTCACGATTGTTAAACGTATTTATTTATTGTTTAATTCAGCATAAATCTACTTAAATAGTATATTGTTAGAGGTTTTAATTTTTACTGAATACTGAGTAAATCATTGTACTTCGCAACCTGTCAATAATCAACCACTATATTTTTCTCCTATAACCTATACAGGTTGTAGATTATAAAGTGGAATTTTCTAAATGGTGGGTAGCCGAATTCAAAACAATAAAGTATCCGTCTCAGGGCACCGTATTTGACTACTTTATCGACACCGAGACTAAAGAATTTTTACCCTGGTCGCATATTATTCCGAAGTTTGAGCTGGACTCAGATCTACCACTACAGGTAAAGTTCTAGTAATATAGTATTATATTTTTATTGACTCGCTGAATTTTTTTTTTGTTAACTAATATACATTGAATTGGATTTCTAAACCTAGAACGTTTTGGTGCACACGCCTGAATCAATCAGGACTCGGTATTTCGTCGACTTACTTATGGACCGTAAACATCCGGTCATGTTAGTAGGAAGCGCCGGATGCGGTAAAACGGTACTAGTCAACGAAAAGCTGACCAGACTTTCAGAAAACTACGCGGTGACCAATATACCGTTTAACTATTACACTACTTCAGGTGTGTACTGTTTTCAAAGGTCACTTTGAGTCTAAGTAATTGATCATGGTTTGTTTTGAACTAAAGAAATGCTGCAAAAGATACTGGAAAAGCCGTTGGAGAAAAAAGCCGGTAGAAATTACGGGCCCCCTGGAAATAAATCATTGGTTTACTTTTTGGATGACATGAATATGCCTGAGGTATTTGAAAATTTAACTGAACTTATTTATCTATTTTAATTTATGCGATTTCCATTTAAATAATAAAATATACTGCAAAGTACGTATCGACGACCCATTTTTATTTTTAAACTTCTTACACTCAGGTGGATTGTTATGGAACAGTGCAACCGCATACCTTGATTCGACAGCATTTGGATTACGGTCATTGGTACGATCGAACAAAATTATCATTGAAAGATATACATAATTGTCAGTACGTGTCTTGTATGAATCCAACAGCCGGTAGTTTTACGATAAACCCACGACTTCAACGACACTTTTGTGTCATTGCAGTAAGGTAAGTAACGGCTCCAAGTTGTTTACATAGGTTAAGATAGGTAGTTCTCCGAAATTAAAAAATCAGCATGTCATTGTTTTTTCATACATAATATTTAAAGTAGCGCGTTTTAAATCAGCGTTTGGCATTTAACATGTGTGTCATTAATTATGTAATTATTACAAATATAATTACTATTGGTAATGAAGTGTCAATTTGCATTGTGTGTAGTTTTCCGGGCACTGAATCGTTAACGATAATATATTCTTCGATCCTGAGTCAACATTTTGGAAATTCCGAGTATCGGATACCACAAGTAGCGTCGAAATTATCCGACAACGTGATAGAAGCAACAATCTGGCTGCACAACAAAGCCAGTTCATTTTTTCTACCCACCGCGAACAAATTTCATTATATTTTCAATTTAAGAGATTTGTCCAATGTTTTTCAAGTATTAACAACATTAAACAAATCGTCGATCACCTCGAGATTGTATTTAATATACATAATTGTTGCAATAGGGATTACTGTTTAGCACTGGAGAATGTCTCGCCTGTCCGGCAGACCTGATGCGCTTGTGGATGCACGAATGTCAAAGGGTGTACTCGGACAAACTGGTGGATGAAAAAGATTCGGACGCGTTTTCTAAAATGCAGACGGACGCTTTAAAAAAGTTTTTCGACGTAAGTGGACGACTTCACAGCGGATTTCGTTAAGTGAAATAGCATTTTTTAGCAATTGAATTATTGCTTTTGTAACAGGAAATAGATGAGTGTACGGTTTTCGAAAAACCAAATATTTACTGTCATTTCGCCCAAGGCATCGGCGAGCCCAAATACATTTCTGTCAGGAGTTGGTCGAATCTTACAAGATTATTGGAAGAAGCTCTAAACCTATATAATGACTTGGTTGCAGCTATGAATTTGGTGTTGTTTGAGGACGCTATGATGCACGTGTGCAGGTATTAACCGTATTGAAAACGTAGAACTCGTGCAGTATGTACAGTTGCATTTCTTTCTAGGATCAATCGAATACTAGAGTCACCTCGCGGGAGTTGTTTGTTGGTCGGAGTCGGTGGCAGTGGTAAACAGTGTTTGGCCCGTTTGGCGGCGTTTATTTCAAGTTTAGAAGTGGCTCAGATACAGCTGCGCAAAGGCTACGGTCTGCTGGATCTAAAAGTGAGAGCATCGGTGTTTGCGCGCTACACAAGCTAAACCATCAATATATTTTAGATGGAGCTGTCTAGTTTGTACATGAAATCCGGATTAAAAAATGTAGGCATTGTGTTTCTGATGACCGACGCTCAAGTTCCGTCCGAATCGTTTTTAGTGCTGATCAACGATATGTTATCGTCAGGGGAAATACCTGAGTTGTTCCCAGACGACGAAGTCGAAAATATCATAGCTGGTGTTCGGAATGAAGTAAGTATAAAAGTTCAACAAACAAATTACCTACAATTCTAAAAACCTCGAACTTTTTTCGAAGATATTTTTAAATAAATGAGCAGGTTTGGTGAGTATTTCCTTTTTAGCAGTAAAACCCATTGCAAATCAATACAACGGGATGTTTAAAAAAGTCATCACTGTTAAACACACACTCATAACATACTTTTTTATAAAAAAAGGTGTAATAAAACAACTGAGGTACTTCATCTTTAATTTAAACCAATTGCCCCAATTTAATAATGAATACCACTTTTAATCTTATTATTTACTTCCAATCCGTTATCACATTCAATGTTACCGATGACTGCCACTTTATACTTTTTGATTTATTATTAATACTAAATTCCATTTCTTACACGTGTAACACACACAAACACAGCCAATTATAAAATAGGATTGCATGTTTAGGTCAAAGGCGCTGGACTGTTAGATACACGTGAAAACTGTTGGAAGTTTTTCATTGATCGAGTCAGAAGACAATTAAAAATCGTACTTTGTTTTTCTCCGGTCGGTTCGGTGTTACGGGTTCGTTCCAGAAAATTCCCTGCACTAGTGAACTGCACGTCTATCAATTGGTTTCACGAATGGCCACAACAAGCACTCATGTCCGTCTCTAATCAATTTTTGTCAGAACTCGAAGTGTTGCCGGTAATAATTAGTAGCAAAAATGTTATTTGATTAAAAACTTGTCGTTGTTCCTAGGAAAACTTCAGAGAATCCATTGCCAAGTTTATGGCGTATGTACACACTCAAGTGAACGCTATATCTCGAGTTTATTTACAAAGTGATCGCCGATACAACTACACGACGCCCAAGTCATTTTTAGAGCAGATATCTCTTTATTCAAAGCTGCTCAGACAAAAATCAGCCGAGTTGGCCAGTAAAATAAATCGTCTTGAAAACGGTTTAGAAAAACTTAAGAGCACTGCCAATCAGGTAGGTTAAAACATATTGACAACCCACATTCGTACGGCTAATAGATCGTAGGTCGTATTAAAACTATAGACAAAACTGTTGCATTGATTTCACATAAAATTATCTATACAAACATAACTATAGATGGTTAAAATGTATTGATTATTGAATTTCTACTAATATTTAAAATGTTTGATATGATTTAATCAGGTGGATAACTTAAAAGCAAAACTGGCGATTCAAGAAATTGAACTGAAGATAAAAAATGATGCAGCAGATAAACTAATACAAATCGTCGGTATAGAAACAGAGAAAGTTTCTAAAGAAAAAGCTTTTGGTATAGTTAACATTAAATTTGTTTAAGGCAACCACTGTTCCTTTTTAAATGTATTTTAATATCTTATTCCCCTATTTAATAGCTGATGACGAAGAAAAGAAAGTATGTTCCATCGCGATAGAAGTAAAAAAAAAACAGCAAGACTGCGAAGAAGATCTTGTTAAAGCAGAACCAGCTCTTCTCGCTGCACAAGTTTGTATTGAACAGATAAATTCGTTCAGCTTTGCTTAATTTACATTTTCAACATTCTTAAGAGGCCACTGCGTCTACAATTTTTTATTTAAAAAATATGGTCGCAAAGATCAGATTTTATGGTTTAGTGGTTTGATATATTTGATTGGAGTTAATGTATTTGCTTATGAAACTATGATACATCACACAAATTATCAAAGTAGTAAAACCAAAGATTAATTTTTCCAGCGTATTATATATTTGAACCTAACATACGAGTGCATTACAAGTGCAATTTGTGTTTGTATTTTCAGGATGCTTTGAATACTCTGAACAAGTCAAATTTGACAGAATTAAAATCATTTGGTTCACCCCCGGTGTTGTAACTAATGTTACAGCTGCTGTTATGGTACTGTTGGCGCAAAATGGTAAAATTCCAAAAGACCGTAGCTGGAAAGCTGCTAAAGTAATTAATGAATCATAATTCGTACTATTTTATACAGAAGAAAAAAATGTTTATTCAAATTATATTTAGTTTAAACTGTCGCAAATTTCAATGTAACCAAATGTTTATTTTAGATAATGATGGCCAAAGTAGACAGTTTTCTTGATCAGTTAATCAATTATGACAAAGAAAACATCCATCCCGAAGTGACGAAAGCAATTAAACCATATTTAAAGGATCCTGAGTTTGAACCCGAATTTGTGAGAACCAAGTCAGCCGCTGCTGCAGGTTATATCATATTTTCTAGAACAATACAAATCCATTTAATTTACGTTTGAAATATTTAATTTTTGTAATGTCTTAGGACTTTGTGCTTGGGTAATAAACATAGTCAAATTTTACGAAGTCTACTGCGATGTGGAGCCAAAAAGATTGGCTCTAGCTCAAGCTAATACAGAATTGGCTCAAGCCCAAGATAAATTAGCTGTCATAAAGAAAAAAGTCGCTGTATGTACCTTCCGTGTTTGAATATTAATTTATTCAATATAATATTGTTATTATCACAATTACATTGTACTTTTTAAATTACCTTAGTCTTTAGAGGAGCAGTTATCGAAATTGACAGCAGATTTTGAACAAGCCACTTCTGAGAAGTTACACTGTCAACAAGAGGCGGACGCCACGAATAAGACAATTGCACTAGCCAACCGTCTGATTGGTGGTTTGGGTTCTGAAAATGTTCGTTGGGCAGAAGCTGTTGCCTGGTAAACAATGTAAAATTGTCTCTAAACGTACAAGAACACACAAACTTATGTTATGATAAATAAAGATATATGCACTTTTAGTTTTCGATAAACATTTTTTTCCATTTAATCCCATAAACACACGTTAGTCACTGTCTCTTATTCCTTACATACATAATTAAATATAAAATTAATATTATTTACTACGGACAAACTTTAACTATGCTCCTTTTTTATTTCATTCCTCATATCTTCTTTACCACTTCCTTGTTCACTCTTCTATAAAATTTACCAAATCTTTTCAGCATAGTTTTCTATTATTCACACAAATGTAAAAATATAGTACATAATATGCCATTTTACGGATAAAAATGTTATAGCTTTATGCAGCAAAGTACGACACTACCTGGAGATGTTTTATTGATAACAGCGTTTATATCTTATGTCGGTTGTTTTACAAAACACTACAGACAAGAACTTTTGCACAAAATATGGACTCCTTATGTGAAATCGTTAGACGTACGTTAGCGTCACCTAACAATATGTATATCAAACAGTTAACTCTATGTAAAATTGCAGCCTTCGGTGCCGATTACTGAGGGGTTAGATCCGTTGACTTTGTTGACCGACGACACACAAATAGCGATCTGGAACAACGAAGGACTCCCAAGTGACCGGATGTCTACAGAAAACGCAACTATACTTACAAATTCCGACAGATGGCCGCTTATGATTGATCCTCAAGTAACACAAAATTAGCTGAACCGTTACTTTTGCTTTTATTTGTAGAGTTTTTATTGAAATTATATATATTTGTAAAAAGTTACAAGGCGTTAAGTGGATAAAACAGAAATATGGTGACAGCTTAATCGTGTTGAGACTGGGACAAAAAGGATCTATGGATGAACTAGAAAAGAGCATAACTTCAGGGCGAACAGTATTGCTTGAAAATATAGAAGAAAATTTAGATCCGGTGTTAGATTCATTACTCGGTCGTAATCTTATCAAAAAAGGAAAGTAAGTTTTAAAATATGATGCACTACAACGTCCTTATTTTTATGTATGGGGTTTTGTTAACTGAACGTCCCCACGGTTCGACGCAGAGCAATTAAGATGGGCGATAAAGAAGTAGAATACAACCTCGACTTCCGCTTGTTACTTCACACAAAATTGGCAAATCCTCATTACAAGCCCGAAATGCAAGCTCAAACGACGCTGATTAATTTCACAGTGACCAGAGATGGTTTGGAGGATCAGTTGTTAGCCGAAGTCGTCAAAGCCGAACGACCCGACTTGGAACAGCTTAAAGTATTTAAACGGCGCACTTAGATGCAATCTTAAATTCGATAAAATAATTGTATTGCGGTCAGAACGCTTGCGACGTACTTATTTTTATAATATTTCTCTAGGCTGAATTGACGAAACAGCAAAACGATTTTAAGATCATGCTTAAAAAGTTAGAAGACGATTTACTCTCAAGGTTGTCATCGGCCGGAGGTCAGTAGAATATATCATTATTTATTTGTACTTAAATGCTACTTGGAAATTCTAAACATAACGCTTAGCCGCATAGCTATATTCTACCAATTTCTTTTTCTAGACAATATACTTAGCGACACCGCACTAGTGGAAAATTTGGAAACGACAAAACGGACGGCGGCCGAGATACAGCAGAAAGTAGCTGAAGCTAAGATCACTTCGGAAAAAATTGACGAAGCCAGAGAACATTACAGGCCAGCAGCTGCAAGAGCTAGCCTACTATATTTCATTCTCAACGAACTCAATACAATTAACCCAGTTTATCAATTTTCGCTAAAGGTAACTTGGTCAACAGAAAAAACTGTGCTACATTATTATATAAAATTGCCATATTTTAAATTTACAATTGTAGAGCACTCGTTTGGGTATTTAGATGTACCTGGTTACTAGTAGGCTCAAATTTAGAATTATGGAGCCATTAGAGTACATACAATTATTTATGACATATTCTGAAGGTTGTCAACCAATGAACGATTCTTTCAATGATACTGACCTAATGTTATTATTTAATTTCTAGGCGTTCTGCGTGGTCTTCCACAATGCAATTGAAAAGTCTCAACCAGCAGACGACGTTGCCAAACGAGTTATCAATTTGATCGACTGTATCACTTATTTTGTTTTTGTGTACACGTCCAGAGGACTTTTTGAATGCGATAAGTTAATATTTGCTTCGCAGATGACGTTCCAAGTAAGTGTTCTCTATTCGAGGTGAGTACATTGAATTTATGCATTCAACTGCGTACGTTGTACCAGATACTGTTGATGAGCGAAGAAATAATGCCACAAGATTTGGATTTCTTTTTGCGATTCCCCACGGCTCAACACATCAGCAGCCCCGTAGACTTTCTGTCGAATTCTAGTTGGTCTGGTATAAGGAGTTTGTCCAGCAAAGACGAATTTAGGTAAGTATCCTGAAAGATACGAATAGGGTTTTAGGTTTAATTGCATGAAAAAGAACGAGAAACATTTTTACGCGTTACAGAAATTTGGACAGAGACATTGAAACTTCGTCGAAGAGATGGAAAAAGTTTATTGAATCGGACTGCCCAGAGCGTGAAAAATTTCCTCAAGAATGGAAAAACAAAGTATCTCTGCAAAGACTAATGATGATGAGAGCGCTGAGACCCGACCGAATGACCTACGCCATGTCGTTAGTGTAGACGTTTTGTTTTTAATGTAACCTTACCTGTCCAACCATTATATTATCTGTTAAGAGCGTTCATCGAAGAAAAACTCGGTGCCAAATACGTGGAAGGAAGGAGCATCGATTTTGCCAAGTCGTTTGAGGAAACGTCTCCGACTACACCGATTTTTTTTATACTTTCGCCTGGAGTAAACCCGCTGAAAGTAATTAAAATAATAGAAAAAAACATCACATTTTACATTGTTTTGTTTTGCAATGACAAATTGTGAGACCGATATAGTTATGTTATATGTTATATAATCATAGTGTTGGGCTATATACAAACATAATTAACATACACATGATAAGTGTAGCAAATATGATAATTTTAAAATTAATACGCTGTAGGGGAGAATACTGAAAAATAATAGACTGTAATAGTCTGAGTGTGTTATGAGCCACGTGTGGGGGAAATGAAAAGTAATGTTAATGTCATTGAAACATACGTGGACGGACACTTTAAGTGAATTCCAGGGAGTAGGATGATGGATAATCTATAATAAATATTTAATTAGAAAGATACAAGGGAAAAAATTCAAAAATTAATTTTTAGCTTAAATTACTATTTGTAGGATGTCGAAGATTTAGGACATAAGCTTGGAATTTCGACAAATCAAAAAAATTTTCACAACGTATCCCTAGGACAGGGCCAAGAAATTGTCGCGGAAAACGCAATGGAAATATCAGCGTCTGAAGGCCATTGGGTTGTTCTTCAGGTACAATACATGAACGTTAAACCTATTAGATGGATTATGGTTTTTTAATGTATCTTATGCTTACAATACAACTGTGTGCTTCTATTTTTTATAGAACATACATTTGGTAAAAAAATGGTTGCCTACTCTTGAAAAGAAAATGGAATTACTTGGCGACGTAGCAAATTCAGCGTACAGATTATTTTTAAGCGCTGAACCGGCTGCGACGCCTTCAGCACACATCATACCTCAAGTATGTTCATAAAATAATTTTTTTTTCCTAAAAACCCTGTTCTTCGACGAACAAACAATCTTAATTTCTATTTTCTTTTTTTCCCTAACCCCATCTCCTAATATTTATAATTTACCATATTATTGTATCTTTTAAACAATTTCCTGACCAAAATCCTAAGCAAACTTATGTACACAAAAAATCCGTAATAAATGTGTAAATACCATTAGTTAATTTTTTACTAACATTAATTTTAGCTGTAGTAACAATATAATATGTACAATATTCCTTAATTAAAAGTTTAAACATAGCAGTACTATTAGTACTAATCATTTAAATTTGATTATATTATTTCGAAATGATACATATTTAGAACTGTTGGGCTATCATGTTTTTTCAAATGTAATAAAAGAAAAAAAAATTGTCTCTTATTGATTTTGAAGTACAATTTATAAATATATCTAATATCCTTTTTTAAATCTTCCTAACTATGGAATATGATTATAAACTTTTATTTTTCAGGGCATTTTAGAGTCTTGTATTAAAATAACTAACGAGCCTCCGACAGGCATGCAGGCAAACTTACATAAAGCGTTAGACAATTTCAACCAAGAAACTTTAGAAATGTCCTCCAAGGAAGCCGAATTCAAAGCCATACTTTTTTCACTATGCTATTTCCACGCTGTAGTGGCAGAACGCAGAAAATTCGGGGCACAAGGATGGAACAAAGTTTATCCGTTTAACGTCGGTAAGTATATATACGTGACATAAGTGTACGCTGTACTACTATTATAACGTCGAGTTATCGTGCAGGGGATTTAAACATCAGCGTCAGTGTGCTGTTCAACTACTTGGAAGCCAACAACAAAGTGCCTTGGGAAGATCTCCGTTATCTTTTCGGTGAAATCATGTACGGTGGTCATATAACGGACGATTGGGATAGAAAACTGTGTATATCATATTTAGAGGAATTTATGCAACCGGACTTGGTAATATTCGAAAATTTCTATAATATCGACTTTGCTGAAATCTAAATATATTAAATAGTTTAACTGTGAAAATAAATATACATGTATATATATGTATCATTCAACTTAAATAATGTTAACATGAACGGTTATCGTTTTGTGCATGACGTCCTATCTTACCAGTTATCATAATGAGATAATTTCATTGTGAGACATTCATATTCTCTGAAAGTATTTAAAATGTATTTTAAAACGTATTGATTTTAATTAGTCACCTCTTAGTGTATTGGCAGCTCTTTGTACCGTTTTTGCTGTAATGCCACACAGGTTGATGGTGATCTCCATTTAGCTCCCGCGTTCCCAGCGCCTCCGAACACGGACTACCAGGGATACCACACTTATATCGACGAAGTGTTGCCCTCTGAGAGTCCAGTACTTTATGGTTTACATCCGAATGCTGAAATCGGGTTTATGAGTACAACGTCGGAAAACCTATTCCGTACCGTATTTGAAATGCAGCCAAGAGAAGCCGGCGCTGTTGGTGGCACTAACGTCACCAGGGAAGATAAAGTAAATACATATAAGCATATTGCCATTGGTAGAACATAGTTTTGACGAAACGTGACTTTATTAACTAGCTTTAGAAGTGCTGTTTGGTTGAAATAATAACACTACTAATTACTGTGAACTAAATTTTAGATTTTATATATTGATATTGTTTTGTACAATATTTATTCGTGTGTACAGGTGAAACAGTTGGTTGACGAAACATTAGAGAAACTTCCAGAGGAATTTAATATTAACGAGATGATGAGCAAAGTGGAAGAAAGAACACCATATGTTATTGTCGCTTTTCAAGAGTGCCAGAGAATGAATTTCCTTACGAGCGAGATGAAACGGTCATTGAAAGAACTGGAACTAGGCCTAAAGGTATGTCGAGTACCTAAAAATAACTGCGTGCACTGCCAGTCACTCAACTATAAGTCTTTCAGGGAGAGCTGACAATTACTTCGGACATGGAAAATCTGGAAAATGCTCTGTTTCTAGATCAGATTCCATCGGTATGGCTGGATAGGGCGTATCCTTCACTGTTGGGCCTTGGATCGTGGTTTGCCGATCTCTTGCTTCGCATCAGAGAATTAGAAACGTGGACCACAGATTTCGTTGTAAGACTATTCGATTGGAACGAGTCCGAATATTTTTTAGAATTAGTGGATCATATTCTATATCATATTACATTTTGTAGGTACCTACTTCGGTTTGGCTGTCGGGGTTTTTTAACCCTCAGTCGTTTTTGACGGCAATCATGCAGAGCACAGCCAGGAAACACGAACTGCCCCTAGACAAGATGTGTCTGCAGTGTGACGTAACGAAGAAACATAAAGAAGATTTTAGGTATTGCAACAATTCTCAGTGTTTTTATTTCATTTAAACAATATATATATATATACATTTTGTTTTCTGTAAAATTAAGTGGAGCGGCCAGAGACGGTGCTTATATTCACGGGCTTTTTGTGGAAGGTGCAAGATGGGATATCATGCAGGGTGTCATTATGGAATCCAAACTCAAAGAGCTATTCCCACAAATGCCTGTAATCAACGTTCGGGTGAGTGCATAAAATCATATACTTTTGGTAAAATTTTGAAAAACGAAAATAGTACTTCCGCTCAAAAGATGGGAAAAGGATGATTAATCTTCATAATACGGTATCACGCGGGCAGATTGCATACAACTTACAAATATGGATGGTCGAAATCAATGATTTATATTTTTTCAGGCTATCACTCAAGATAAACAAGATTCTCGCAGTGTATACGAATGTCCAGTGTATAAAACCAGAACGAGAGGTCCTACTTACGTGTGGACGTTCAACTTAAAGAGTAAAGACAAGTCGTCAAAATGGACACTTGCCGGGGTAGCATTATTGTTACAACTATAAAAATTATTCTAATTTCATCGTTGAAATTAGATATAGGTTATATGACGTTTAGGTACATAGCTATTCCTGCATAATACAATCGAGTAGGTATATTATATTGAAAATATATTACCATTGGTTATACATGCTACAGACAGATCACTGCTATAGAAAATACGCTGCTCGGTATTTTACCGTCGGTAGAGGGCGATAAAGGAATAATTGAAATTAATCAAAACGACGACGGCGGGCGATAACTGAACGCAATGGGAGTTGTGCGAAATCACGAAATAATAGAATAATAATACTACATTTAAACAAAAGTTACCTAGTTAAAAATACTCACCAGAATCCACAGATTGTTTTAGTTTTATTTCATCAAAATCCATTCTGTAGTTTTACCCTTTCAATGCTAAGTTTTTTTTCTCTAAAATACCCACCTCCGATGAATTAATTTGATTTTTTTTTTTAATATTCTCAAATGATAAATTCAGTTGCATTGGACCATATGTTGAAAAACAAATTTTTGACTTGATATTTAAGTTTTAAGCTTAGTTTTACATTGGCGCAAATTTTTGGGGGCTTTGGGAGACTTAGCTTATTCAAAATGTAATCAAGTTTCCCCCATATCAAATCCTCGTCAAGGGTCACAAGCGTTTTTTGGAAGGACACTTAAGTGATTTAATTCCCCTAAAAGTATTTCGGCTATTGAATGTACATTGCGACACTAGCGATTAGAATGATCATACTAACTACGCAATAGCAACGCATTAAAGCGGCATACGATTTTTAAGCGCAGCATATTATTTTTTATTGCAGCTATCTATTGTAATTTGTATGTATCATGAATACTATACGATGCTATATGTTATTATATTGAAATGTCTTTTTAAATATACACGTTTTAACATAATATAGACAACGTTATGATTTTATCGTTGCAGCGGTGTAACTATTATGCATACACAACACCCCTCGAAACCACAAATACTTGTACTAACCTTTTTTTATAGAAAATACATAAAATGTATTTGTTTTAGTTGGTAGTACATAATGCAATAAACATAGGTAATATAAAATAACAAAAAATAGACATAATTGCACATGTTAGTTGGTTTTATTAGCTATAAAAATGTTTCAATGAAAAATTACTCTACTAGAAAAACGTTCACGGGTTTAAAATGTTTGTTAAAATGCTCAGCTAAGAAGGTATTCGTTTATATAAGAATGTGTTGGTTTAATATTTTAAACTCCAGTCCGGACCAACAATATGTCTTTATTTGTTAGGTGTAGATCATAAATACATAGAAGTAGACGGCACAAACTTTAGATGCATAAAAGGTGAAACCGGTGGCTGCCATATTGGAAAAAGAAGTCTTCTGTTTTCCTTGTAGGAAGTTACCAGAACTGGTTATAAGATTGCTGAGAGAACTGATAAAGGTTAAGTGATAATAGACAGCTGATAATGGATCCTTATAAGACACAGATGATGAAATTGTAGATAGAGACAGGGGGGAGGAGATTGTAAATAGGGACAGGGGAAAAATGAATATGAACATTGGTCCTTCTTACAGGTACCATAAGACATACATGATTTAATATTCTTTTCAAAGTGCCTATTTTAAGGATTTTTTTAGAGTAATTATTAAAATTTTAATTATTTAACTAGCAGTTAAAAATAATGTGAACAAATGTCGTCGTCTTTAAAAATAGTGTGTACACTGTTGGTACAATTCGGCTTTAAAACATAATGCTGCGCATCGCGATCACTGCAAATGCTGATAAAACCCCGAATGGATGGCCATAACTCAACGGGCTGACTATCAGAGTTCCTGACTGACACGGGTTCCTAGCAAATACCACATCTTTGTAAGCATTGGCGTCGTCGTAATAAATGTCAGGTTTCGATCGTTCTGTCGGGATGTCTTCCTGTTTCTCGGTACTCGTTTTAGGTTTTTTCGTCCATTTCTTGAAACGTAGACCTTTCCTTCGTTGATCTTCGGGCAAAAAAACTTGAAGGCCCACGTAGTCCATCCATGGTTTGAAATGGTACAACTGGGTAACTCGAACGACCGGTTTGCCTAAAATTGTTCATAATCGACGATTAGTAGATATTAAAGATGGTGTCTGATATGACACCTGTATGTATTATATGGATTCCCTAGGGTGCTCGGCTGGAACGACGTAAGTAAAGTGGTGGAGCAGTAAATCAACTCTAATCCCCCCTCTGAAATAAGTGATCACCATTGTCATGCATCATTTACGGAGCTTTTGTATTGAGAACATTAATAGTTTAAAGTAAACATGAGCTTACGCATAAATTATTTATCAAAACAAGCAACTTGGAATAGTCTGTGTACATATTATACTGTATTAAACTTTTTTACTTTGTTTTTCTTACGGCTTACCCTTTTAATCAATTGTAGCCTATTCAAATAAGAAATCCCTAAAAGCTTAGATTTCTACCAAAACTCTAAATACTTCTTCTTATCTGGAAAAATAATAGATGTTTTTCAGTTTGAAAAAAAATTTAAAGCACGACACTTGAAAATCATTCCAAAATATATAATATAATATTCTCTAAATAGGTAATTATAATTCGTGTTAAAGTTTTTTTCTTAATAAATTATAGAGTTATCTGTTTTATTGGGCTTCAATGAGCTGTAACTTTAAAAGAAAATATTTATCGTGAAATATCAAACGATTGATTTTGAAGTGTCACATTTCAGTATTAAGAATATCTTTTTTAATTACTAATTTAACTAAAAAAAATGTTTATTAGTTTTCAAGTAATATTTTTAAAAATTTTAATTTCTCATCTTAATTAATTGCTAAAAAAAATTCACTAGGAGATACTTAGAGTTGAGCTAGGGATCTGAAACTTTAGGGGTTTTCTTATTTGAATTGGCTACTACTGATTAGGGTGTAAGTAAAACAACATTTGTTTTTAACCATTTTTTTTTTCAATCTAGATGTATATTACTATGTACATTAATTTTTTATATAATTTAACAGTGCCTGTATAGTACGTACTATTACAATTTTAATAAATCAAATGGATATACTAATTTTCTATCTGTTTGTCTATTTTTTTTATATGAACAGTTTAATACACCTAATTATACTTATAATATACAAAAATAATCAGCTAATCCCTATAAATACTTAACTTTTAGATTAAACTTATAGTTACTAGACCGATTAAAATAGTTGAAATGTATTACTTGGTTTTTTGTCATAGAAAGCGAAATGCCCTACGATGAAATCCCGAAATCCATGCGTTTTGGCGACTAAAAATCCAAATTCGTCATAAGCAGTATAATTGACACCATCTAAACACACAAATAAATCTGGTCGGCTTTGTTCGGAGGAACCCCCTCCTCCAGAGGGATTTTGTCCAGGAGGTTTCTCTTCAGGTTTTTTGTCACCTCTAAAAGCACAATAAAAACATAATAGGATAACATAGGTGGAGATACGAGGCAATTTACAAATGTTATAACTCCTAATGCGATTTTAATTAATGTCGAAAAATAATTATTGCTATTCTATAAACTTATTAGTTCCCCATCAAAGCTAAATCAATTTGACTTAGGGGCAGTGGAGACCTAAGTAGATGTTTTTTTATATTATATTATTTCAAAAGAATGAAGTATTTTTCTTTTTACTCCTATTTAGTATATAATGGATATATATAGCATCAATTATTTATTATTTAACGCCCTACGGCCTACACTAATTTACTCTTGAAATAGTTACAATTTCGTGGTAGTTCATTTTGAAAGCATTTTCATTTATGTTATACTTGAAAATATTTCAATTTTGAAAGGAAGGGTGGAGACTGGAGAGTAGGGTTATTTTTATATGCACGCATTACCCTTCCGCAATTCACCTCCCGTTCTTAATTTTAAACTTAAATAACTCGTAACTTATTATATGCATTACAAAGAAAATTCGAAGGGAAGTAGAACTGAGGAAGGGCGGTCTTTTCTATTCGTTATATTATTGTTATTAATAAATCAAACAACGATAAAAAAAACCCTATCTAACTTAAATTAATCTAACGACAAACATTTTAGATACTGCTAATCTATAATGTTGTATTTGGACCTGGTTATATAAAGAAATACATTGAATAGTTGTGTAAATTGTGTATATTTCAAAAAAAAATATGAAAATGTTAATCCTTACAACTAGTTTTAAGAGGGCGTCGTAGCGCCCATTTTTAAGGAGTAAAGTATAGACAATTTTTAACAAAATCTTTATTTAAATAAAAGATGATAATAAATAGTCATACTCATTACTCTGGCAGTTGATAAAGAGGCATTAGCTAATTAACACCTCTGTTATAAGCTATAACTAAAAAATATGAACACATATCACAAGAATTTTGTTCAGAAAGCTTATTAATTTTAAAGGTTAAATTGTGATGTGTAATTATTAGTAGAATAACTAGGACTCTATTTCAGTAGTTCATTTATTATTTGGACTATCACAGCATCCTTGAAAGCGATTTAAAAATGTTTTTTCATCTCTACATGATTAAGCAGACTGAAAATAACTCGCTTAATTTTGGTTTTAGAGTAAAAGCACTCATTATAAAATTAAAAGAAAACAATATTCCGGAGGGCAAGACGGTGCGTTTTTTTTCATTATTCCAAGTATAACGCTCAATACATAGATTAGAAATAACGACTATTTTAACATTTTTAAATGACTGTAACTTTTCAAAAAATGATTTTTTTAAAAATAACACACCGTCTTGCCCTCCGGAATATTGTTTTCTTTTAATTTTATAATGGGTGCTTTAGTCTGCCTAAACATGTTTTTACCACTGAAAATCATCGATGCGGTGCCCTCTTAACATAATTTCTCTATCAACACCAAATTCTTACCAGACGTTCCCCTAATTTATTTGTAAGTATTACATAAATTTGGAAAGTGTTCGATCAGCAAACCGCCCATGTTTGAAACCTTACGGTAATTACTTCATAAATGAATAGCAAAATAAAACGTAATTGGTTCAAAGTAATATAAATTTTTTATGAGCAAAAAATGTTTACTTTTTGACCCCAAAAAAAGGTTTTTTACAAATTCAAAAATAATATGATTTTCCGTGGTTAAGAAAGTTTAAAAATTATTTTTTTCTCAGTATATGATTAAAGTACACTTAATTGGAATTTTAACCGTATAGGTTTCATGTTGATACCACTACCCGGTGTTAAATTACGGGATTCAGAAACATAAGGTGTTTTTGGATAATTTTTTCTAAAAAACTTAGGTCCCTTTAAATAATGTATGGAATAACCTTATACTGATTGTAATTTGTCATTTGATTTATAAATTTTATACCTAAAATAATTATATTATTAAAGTTATTCAAATTTACGTCAACAATAATAGTGGTACATATATATATTGCAAATGTATTATTTATGAAAACACAGTAAATATCAAATTGTACAAATGTACACAGTTAACGTGAATCAATTTATTATACTAGTGATCTACTTACGATTGTCGTTTATTTAATTTTCGAAATTCAGTAAATGGGCAATTGAAGACTTCTGTATGTGGCAATACCACATTTGTTGGCAAAAATATCTTTACTAATGATTGATTAAAATCTCTACATTTGTCTTTGAATTCTGTAGATTTTATAGCTTGTGCCCAAGTTATGATATAATAATATTCAACGGTTGTTGGAAACGTGTCAACAAGGTGTAGTCCTGATAGGCGAATACTGGATGGCCCATAAAATGATTCGAAGTTAACAGCCTCTAAAGCCCCAGTCAAGATAGTCCCCACAGGCATCACTTCCTTAGTCCACGGTTCTATTAAATATGGGTCTTCATCT